GAAGTCATCGACTATTGCGTTCATAGATGGAGTAAGACCTTTGTAGTCTATCTTTCTTCTAAGGAATTTAAAGGGCACGGTTTCTGATATTATTGAAACACTTTCCCCACAAATAGCAATCCCGCGGTTATATGAGGTATATCTGGTATCTCGCCGGCGCAGACAAAGGCAATAGCATTTGCTAGGTTTTGTTCTCATTCCCTGGTACAGAAGTCATCCACCTTACGCAGCAGTTCTTGGCACTTCGGGTTAGGACCGCGAGGTTGTCTACGAATGCTTAAATGGGTTCTGTATGTTTTCCATTGACCTTAAACCGGTAGCCCCACCTCTTTTCGTGTGTTGCGATATTATCTATTCATATATTTATAACTAAATTAAATACTACTGGTGATAAGCAGCAACCTTGGAACAACCCTACTCTGTATTCGAGGGGTTTTGTATCGGGCACGCCGTCATCGCGGCGGTCAGACCCGTTATGGAGGATTGGCTCTAGAGGCATCACGGGACCCTCTCATACCGACTGACGCAGGTGATCACTGGGAAAGGATGTTTCGGGGATCACCTGTGTCTGATCCGCAAGGAGCCCACGCCTGAGTGCCATCACTGCGATGGTCGGACCGTGGACACGGCGCTCCACACGCTGGCAGAATGCCCGGTGTGGGTGAAGCAGAGACGAGACCTCATCATCACATCGGAATGGGAGTTCCCTCGCTCGATAACCTGATTGCAGCTATCGTGCGGAGCGAGAGTGCGTGGAACTCTGCCGTCTCTTTCTACGAGCAAGTTATGCTTGCGAAGGAGATGGCGGAGCGGGACCGGGAGAGGTTTAGAACTCTCCCGGCCCGCCAGGCTCCGGAACGGGCCAGGTACCGCAGACGATTCAGGTCCTCCATAAGCGCAAGCTTGGGAGGGACAGGTGAGGCCATCTGTAACCCTAGCAGAAGCAGGCCAGGGTGGCGGCGAGAGTGCTGCGAGGCGCGCGCGCCCTTCCGGGATCACAGAGGGAACATGGGGGTTTCCACACAGGGGGGATCGTCTGCCCGTCATAGATGGTCCGAGATACGTCGGAACACCATGGATTTCCTTTCTAAGGTAGGTACACTTGGTTCCCCCGACTACTGGTACCTGAGACGGCGTGCGGTTTTAGTCGGTTCGAGTCCGACATTGCCACCGGTAAGTGGTATCCAGGGAAAAAAAAGGGGTTTTGTATGTCCCTTCTTTGCTGTGATTACAAATATTAATTTACTATAGTATGATGCAATTATTTCACAAACTATTGGACATAATTCGTGTCGCACTGAGACAAAGGCGTTTTCTTAATCTACCCAACAAACTGTAATTTGCCTTTCATTTTTCCTAGCATCTTAGAGACTTTCCGCAAGTAATGACTTATGTTCCAGACATCCAGAGATTCTGGGCATGAACCCTTTCAGGTAATTTGGTCTGAAGTAATTCATTATTGTTGGACATAAACTGTTCTATTATTAATTGAAGACAGGAGAATTTATTATAATTAGAAGGTGTTTACGCAATTATTGTCATTTTTTACATACGTTGATTGAGAGCATTGAGAGCTGATTTTGTTGGCGGGTTACAATCAAAATTGAAAAAAGGGCTTGCTGGGTTTTGTGCACTTGGTTCATGATAGGTCTTCTCACGTGTTGGCACCTCGTAGGTAGTTTTATAGTGTTCGTAGATCTGGTCAGCCATTAGAAGCAGTTGTCCACGCTTCTCTTTCGTAAGCAATTTTTCAGTTTCGTAAGCAATTTGTACTGATACTCCTTGAATTACCTTTAGTATTGATCTTAAAACCCTGGCTAGTTGGTGGCTCAGGTGGATATCGACTATGGCTTTGGCATTCCGTGGTCGTTTGACAAGGTCTCTCTTTCTCTTTCTCAATTTGGTCTTAAACTTGTTTTCATTTCCTTCATAAGCATAGTGTGTTGCGGGTGAGTAGTGCTCGTGGAAATATGTTTCTATCACTTTTTGGAAAGTTTCGACTTGGCTATTTAGGTCTTGCTTGCTTAGGTGCTCCAGGATGTTCTATGAGTACTGCCAAGTGATATTTCAACTCTTTGAACGGATCGTAATTGATTTGTAACATAAAGTGAAAAATGATTTCTTCCCTAAAATCGGGTGGAGGTCACACCGCAAAAGATTACAGCGTATGTCGCTGACTGCCGCTTTGATCCCGACAACCTATGAAATCAAAGCATTTCCTACGTAAGATCCCTAAATATATACTAATAAAATAGTAAATTTAATCAATCATCAATAACACATTCATATAATATGGTCCTGTATTTGTGCATACAGGACCATATTACCTATTTGAACACATACTTGAGAAGCTGAATCTGATTTTTTATCGCTTACAGAAAACCGATTATAATTGAAGCATATACTAGGATTCAATCCTTACAGTTGCGAAGCTTTTAGGCCTATTTTAATTTTACAGAATGTTGATACATTTCGAACAACATTCAGTACAAAAAATAAACTATTCGTAACGAACTGCTGGCAATATTCCGTTAGTAGCAATTTAGCGGTTGGTTGTGCAATAAGAACCGGTTTTGTAATGTATCTACGTCTAAGAAAACTATTATAGCACAACACAGTTTTAAATTGAATATAACCTCTGATGTTATTGTTTTTGTAAGTAATGGCAGTTCAATTGTTATGAAGTAAGTAAATTAATTATAAGTAGTGTATATTCTCTGTTATATAAGAATTGTGTTGTTACCGTTACATAAATTAGTGGTAGGAAGATAAATCATTGACGTTCGTCCGCATTGCTCGGTGTAAAAGTAATATCAAATAAATTTACAAACACAGGTGTGCTTGAAACAGGGAATGGAGGTTCTTTAGTCTTCTGTAAGGATTCTTCGGTATTGAATAGAAAATTATTTCAAAATGCGTCTGATTAGCACTAAAGTACACAAATTTACTTTACAAGTCGTATTGTAATAAGGAACAAGTTAGTTACTGGAATAAACAAAATACCCGACTGCGTGAGAATCTTATACTTAAAGACACAAACTTAATTCAGAATTAAGATATAAAGCACATTCTTTACCCATTTCTATTAACCCTCTATTAATCCACTCCAAAACATACAATTTATCACAAAAAATTCGCAATTTAATATTTTTTTTATTTTCATACACCAAGTGTCACTCACAATTAAGATGAATCTAACAACGGCGACACATTAAACGCCAAAATCGATCAAATAAATATACATACATACAAACATAATGCACATGCGCATGGGCAGGGCGCAGCGGGGGAAATAATGTGATTTTACTGTAAATGTATCTTCATGCCGTCCAACTCTGGAAAAATTAACAGGTGAAGAAAACAACAACGCCTTTTTTTGGTGACGGGTGGGAAATCTTTTTGGATCTCCAGCTCCTTGGGGATACAGGAGCCAGGAGTACGAGTATAAAAATCACTCCGACGGCCGGCCTTGGCCTTCAGCTTCCCCTTGCCTATCAGCCTATCTCTAAATGTTGCGGCCGATTACATTTTTGGTGCGATCAGCCTGCCATCCTATTCAGTACCGCCATGGATCACCAAAGGTACCCACTCTCTGGCGGGCCACGGCCTTCTTTGCTCAGGCTATAGTTGCATAGTTTTTTCTTTTTTTTTTTTAATAACTGTCAACCTCTTGCATGACAAGAGTCTTTGGTATGCTCTGTTTCTTTAAATGTAAGTATGTTATTTACATAAGGACAACCTATGCACGGTTAAATTACCACAAACAACAATACAAAATGATTACTAACATAGATTAAATTTGTAGGCATCTTTAATCTAGGTAAGTCCTCGTCAACACAAAAAGTGAGAATAGCATTGTGTAAAATTTTGCGAAGGACGGCTTCCATGTTGAACGCGGGAACTAGGCCACTTTGAAGTCTGAGAGACTATGTTATTGCGACGTTTTTATGTGGCGTTTGTCAATTGGTTGATGTCTATAAATATACGTAAGTTTTTATTTCATTAAACCTACAAAAAATACAACAACCAACAGAAAATATGATACATATAGGTGTACTTATTTGTATACCTATCCTATATATCTATATAAATATATATTAAAACCTTGGTAGGTTTCAAGTTTAAATATTCCGTCCTACCTATCTACTTAAAATGGTTAGTTACCTAGTAAAGTAGGTAAAGCAAGCGACTTATTACTGGCAGTGTATACCTACTGAACATTAGGTTAATGGAGAAATGTTAAAATTAAGTCTGATATTGCTGTCCTTATCAGCCACTAGCTTTTGCCCGCGGCTCCGCCCGCTTGAATGTCGGTTATCGCGCTAAAAAGTAGTCTATGGCACTCAGGGATAAAATACCTTTCTAACAGTGAAAGAATTGTCAAAATCGGATCAGTAGTACCGGAGATTACCCCGAACATACAAACTCACAAACTTTACCTCTTTATAATGTTAGTATAGAATAGATTAGTATAGATAAATTTGAGGTCGAGAAAATAGTGGAAAACAGTCTCTACTTTCCACATACGTAGGTTATACAAAACACACTTAAGACAACACTGCTTAAGATACTCCGTTTACTTACTATACTTTAAGGTACACGTTATTTTACTGACGTCGTTCTTTAATATTTTTACTTATGTTTACATTTAATTAAAAACAAAAACTATCATTTTTTGACGCTCATAACATGCATAACATTTTTTACGATAACTACATTTACGATTATTTTAGTAGTATCTGTGCTACGTTATTTTGAATTATGCCGAAAATACCTACTAAACATCACAAACAATATGTGACATTACGTTTTGTTACGCCGTGCCACATATTTCAAACAGCTGTTATCTTTTTAGTACGCTACACTGATGTGAATAATTGAAGAAAATGAGCAGAAATTACAATAGAAGGGTCACTGACTTCCACGATGAACATTGCTGCGCGGGTAATGTCACCGGGAATTTTCGGCGCAGCTCGTCATTGCGACTGCGCGGGGAGAAAATGGTGCAGCGCTCGCCTTTAGCAGCTAGAAGGCTAATACCGATAATCACGGAAAATACTCATCAAAAACAACGCAGCGATGTGCCAAGACTCCAGGAGCCTGGCCATCGCCAGCGGAGCCATGTAAGTCACCACGCATCACACTTTATAAAATTAAAAAACATTACCATAGGGACGAAAAGCAAGCCACGCAGATGGTTAATATTGTATTGTCCACAATAACTCTATAAAGATTTTATGTTTCTATTGAAGCTTTCAAACACCTATTATATTATATTAGGTCTTTACCTATGAAATTGCCGTTTTGTATGCAATAAGTGAAAGTACTTATTTTTTCAAACTTTTTTATTTCTGTTATTCGAAGTAATCACCCATGCTTTGCCAACGCATTGGCAGTTTATTGATGCCGTTCTTGTTAAAATCAGCTGGACGGGAGGCAACAAACTCTTCAAAAGCATTTTGTACTTCCTCTTGGGAATTGAATTTTTTACATACTAAAAAGTTGTCTAAATTTTGGAAAAGTAATAGTCGGTAGGTGCAAGGTCTGGTGAGTATGGCGGATGAGGGAGAGCTTCTAACCCCAGCTCTTGCAGCTTGGAGACTGTGTGAAGGAGCAGTAGGGACGACCGATTGACCAAAGCTGGTTGCAGATGTGCAAGCTTCTCCATCATTCTCTCCAGTTCTTCACAGTACACATCTGCATTAATGCTTGCGGGGTAAAAATTCAATTCCCGAGAGGCAGTACAAAATGCCTTTGAAGAGGTTACCTCCCGTCCAGCAGATTTTTACAAGAAGGGCATCAATAAACTGCCAATGCGTTGGCAAAGATGCGTCAATTGCATGGGTGATTACTTCGAATAACAGAAATAAAAAAGTATGAAAAAATAAGTACTTTCACTTATTGCATACAAAACGGCACTTTCATAGGTAGACCTATTATTTCAATTACCGATTTTTACTGCTTTAGTTAGACGTAACTTTATTTATAAATTAGCAGTATTTTTCAATTTAGTTGTTTTTCTGAAAATAGAACCCTGTATTACCATAATGTAATAAAGTACTTTATTACTTTCCAGTCATTTAACTCAAATTCTCAGCAAAAGCCAAAGAAATCCTGCCTAAAATCCCATGATGGTGGGTATGACAGAAAGTTGAGTATGACTGATTCTGCTCATACCCCACCTGGCTCACCAGAAGATTTGCCTGATGATGAATCTTTACATAGCTATGGTAGTGCTGCCACTGCTGCTTCAATTGATGCAGGATATGCACCATTCAATGGGACCACCTTTAGTGGTAGATCCATGCGTTATGTACTGCATTGTTCGTCACATGCAGGTCTTGCTGGGGAAGAATATCTGACACCAACTCAACGAGCCCAAAAGCAAATACGGCGCCTCAAAAATCTTCTTAGTCAAGCTAAGAAAGATTTAGACAAGAAGGACAGTGAAATATTTCAGCTCACTAAAGAAGTTGTTGAACTAAGGCTTTATAAGGCATCAATATGTTCACCTGATGAAAAATCAAATTCAAGTGAAATTGTGACTATTAGAGAAAATGCAGAAGAGCCTTCTATTGAACAAGATAGTCCTAAAGATGAAGATGCATGTAGATCATTTGATATCACAGATAGCCCAATGTTCAAAAATCAAACACCAACAAGATGCCGCAATGAAATGCAAGGTTCATTTACAGACTCTGGACATTTTGATGATCTGACAAATTCATCTCTGCATTCTAAAGAATCCGTACATTTACTGACACATGAGGCATCTTGTATGACAGAGTTAGGAGACGTTGATGAGGAACGCCGTAGTCTAATAGCATATTATGAGAAAAAGATAGAAGATATTATTAGGACTCATGTTGGAGAGACACAAGAAATTAAGAAAGTTCACAATGACAAAGTGGAGTCGTTGTTACAAAAGTTGGCAGATGTAAATACACGGTATTGTGAACTGTTGCCTAATTGTGAGCAGGCCAAAGAGAGGATTTATTCTCTTGAGAAACAGTTAGAAGAAGTAAACAAGCAACTGCAGGAGGAAGAAACCAGACATAAATCAATGTATTTGCAGATGTATAACAAAGGTGTTGAGGCTGCCAAATTTGAATTAGATAAGGTAATTTAAATTTATAGTATTAAAGTAAACTATTATTCAATTGTTAAGACTAACAGTTGTAAATCTCCATTTTAACTAAAGAATTATAATTTTTTTTTTTATTATCTGAATGGAGGATTCTTTACAAAAATATTATGTATGTTTAAAAGCTCATTTCTCACAAAAAGACACATTACAGTAGAAATGAAATATCAGTTTTAACATTTAAAATTGTAATTTTACAGGAAGTGGAGCCTGGCACTGTCCAAGGGCAAGCTAGCCGGGTATCCGTGGAGGAACTACTGGAGCAGTTGCAGATTACTCAGACAGAGCTCGAGAAAGTTCGAGTAAGTTGCCTTGTTCCAGCCTGTACCATTATTACAACACTGGTATCAGTCAAACTGAACACATATCAGTCGGTTATTAATCTGATATTTTTTTAATAGGTATCCTTCAAGTATTAACTGTCTCCTTTTTAACCGACTTCATTAACATATATAAATGGCCAAATACTCAAACGCAACTCAATTTTAATTTGCATTTATAAACATATGAATGTCACCATACAGTGAAATGTTGCAAATATCTTATGACTAAGTAGCACTTGAGTATGCCGCTATATTAGTGATTTTAACATTTCCATTTAATCAACTAATGTAATGATTTAAAAAGTTGTCAAAACACATGATTTTGAAAGAATAAATAACAGTCTTCGAATCTAAATTAACAACAGCATTGTACTTGGATTTACTATTAGTGTGTGCATGTAGTGGCAATTAACAAGTGCCAGCTTTAACATGTAGTGCATTGCAGGACACGGCATTCACAGAGGACCGATCGGCAAAGTCACAAGTACTGCTAAGTGCAAAGGAGGCTGTTTCTTTATGGGTCCTAGGAGCTCGAAAGGTTGGATATTTATATCGGACAATCAACAGTGCTCACTGTTCAACACCTTTTTTTTATTTTTGTATATTACACCCTGCTTTCCACTTAGGTCATAAAGAGTTGACAAAATTATTTATATGTTTGTTTAGAAGACTTAAGATTAAGTAATTTAGAAATTATTTTAGCATATTGGAATTGTAGGGATAGGCAGCTACAGCATTAATTTAGTTTCAGGGATAAAGTTGTTGCTGTTGTATAAGAATATAAGATTTTTTATTTGGTTTACTTGTACATCATGTTTTTTTAGGTAGATTGAGTATTTCCAGATAGTTTATTTTACATGCAATTTTAGTAGACAGCTTATAACTAATCCCTATATTGTAGCAAATGCTTTCAATGATGATTTTTAACTTGTGTATAACATAATTATAGTTTCTATGTCTAACTTAGCTTCGCATGTTACCTAATTGGTTGAAACAGCCTCTTTTGGTTTTGGGTTTAACATAAGTACAGTACTCATATTGTACATTATTTTAAGTTGTGATATTTTAATTTAATTTATCCTTACTCTATGTAGTTGTAAGTTAACTATATGTATAGTGTAATATAATATTTTAATAAACCAGTCGTTATTATTTTGCATTAAGTAGATACAAACAACCTTCACAAATCTTTTTGTTATTAAAATTGTTGTTGTATAAAACCTTGTTTCAGCAGTCTAATGCTCTTGACTTTCTACATGCAGCAATATTTTATTTTGATATATGTTTACTTTAACAGGGTCTGTTGCTACTTGAGTTTTTACTTAGATCAATACCTTGCAAGGATTCATTGAGACGCTGACAACAAATCACAAATTGTATTATTTAATAGAAATCAAAAACAAATAAAAAAAGATTTGTGTTAAGTCTATTTAGAATTTTAAGTTTTGTATTATGTAGTACTTAGAACCGCATGCCCTAAACACGATTAATGTTGGAAATGTGTCATAGTATTGTTGTTAATTACAGGCAATGTACCGTCGCATTGTCGAGTCGCAGAAAGGAAACAAGACGAAAGTAGATCCTGAAGTGACATTGCAGTTCCTAAAATCGGCCATCTATTACTTCCTTACCGATCCCGAGAACCACCACGGACATCTCAACGCCATAGAGAACATTCTTGGATTCACTGATACGGAGAAAAAGAATATACGCAAGGCGAGGACGTCGTAGGAAAGACTGCTGTGAACGTGTGATATGACATTATTACTAGATAATTTTGTTACTATTTTAGATAGGTTTTATTATTTGTCGTCTGAGACGAAATAACTCGTATGGTACGGGTTAGCTATTAGGTAGTATGTGTGCACAGTATTCATAGGTCCCTTCTAACCAATAAGCTTGCACCTTGTTTTTGTTTATTTTTTCTCAGTTTGGTGATTGTTATCTCTTGTTTTTACTATATTTTTATTTAATAGGTTTTAAACCGAATTTATTTTCTATATTGTGATTTTTATAGTTTATAAGCACCAAAGAATCGTTTTTCAGCAATCAAATCGTGCAATTATGACTATAGTTTTAAGTGTAAATTTGCTGATCTTGCATTCCAGGCTATTTAGTATAAGTGTTATATACATTTTATATAATTATGTTCCTTTAGGTATTGTTTTCCTATTTTTGTGATTTTTACTTTGCATGCTGGTCAGCAATTTTTATTATATTATTTCTACTTAATGTTATGATGTAAATAACTTTTAAAGGTCGAATTGGATCAACGAGGGGGTCAAATCATATAAATATTTTAACTATCTCCACCACATACTAAAAGCCCAAATTAGATTCTAAGGGACCTTATCAGCAATAAACTTGACACTAATAAATTTTTCATGTCTAGGCCCTTACAACATGTGGAAATGACGCATTTAACAAAAATGGTTGTAGATAAATTTTAATAAGTTTAAATTTATTATTACACTTTCGTGTAATCTGAAATATATACATATTAATCATCTTCATAGTAACAGTGCAAGGGAAACGTTAAATAATTGCACAAAATTTACCTACAATTCTCTTTTGGAAAAACTCGACATAATAATTATGTGACCTCATTTTATTGATTAGTTAATCGAATAATTCTTGCCACTCTTGTAGTTGCATCTGTGATTAAATGTACCTTTATAACAACGACGATGCATAATAAACGCCAACTCTTATATACTTATAACACTTTACATACACCTATTTATGTTCCATTCGATAACATTTATATATTAATCCATTGAACATCAACAAACTCTTTTCAAGTTGGAATTTTCAAAAACATGCTTTTACTGCATGTTTTTCTGTTAATGTCAATTTGGAGAGACAGAAAGCTCCTTATATAATTCAATCGTGTCTATTTATTTATAAAGTATCAAGTATCGAATGGAATTAAAGGGAATAATAATATCTTTGTTAATATAGAAATGCTTTTTTTTATTTCAAGCAATTTATAATATAATATGCAAATTTATTGATTTTGCATCTTATCTTGCCTTTATGGATTAGGAATACAGTGATAATAACAGCTATTTAAATAGCATTGTTAACGTCCAATAGTTATACAAATCTTATACAATAGGTATTGTAGATATGATTAGTATTACTTAACGTTTAGTTCGGTTTTATCACACAAAAACACATGACATTCGTTTGATCCATTACAAGGCAATAGAACGTTCCAAGACATTAAGTTGCTTGCTTTAGTTCTGAATATATGGTAAATGGATAATAAATCTTGAGTTGTTTTAATAATTCCTGTACGAGAAATTGATCTAGTCGGCATGCGATTCCTTTGTCTCTCGTCAGTGACGAGGCGTCATCGACGAGAGACAAATGTGTAAAACGGCAATGATATCACTGCACTATTGCTGTGCTCACGGGTAACCATATATAAGACGTAGTAGTTTCTCCAATTATTATTTAGTAAAAAATAGATGCCATAATTCTTAGGGTTTAAAGAGGCCATTTAGGTGACCATTGGCGAAGAAAAGTATCTATCAGTCTATCGAGTAATATACGAGATTGATGTTTTCAAGAGCGAGACGCATTACATAAGTATTTAATCATGTTACCTACTTTAAAATTTATAGACTTCCTATCCCTAGTAATTATTGCGATTGGAATAAGCGAACTCTTGTAAAGTGGGTTATCTCACTATGACAAATTTACCTGCGCCTGCGAGTCAAGTCCCAATCCCTGCGAAGAAGCCACTGTTGTGGCAACCACCTTCAGCTGCACGTCACTTATTTATAAAATCCATAATGCATAACACATTATTCCCAGTAGGCCCGGTCTCCCTGAGCCTTAGCTTGAGCCTGGGAGATTAACAATTTTCTAAAAATTTACTGAAATAAACACCATACTATTTTTTTTATTAGTTATTACAGATATGTATCTAAATAAATCTATGTGTGTAGTGGTTAACTCAAAGTTTCATAAAACCTTTAGATTTTTAAAGATATTGAGAAATACTATCAAAAAACCTTGAATAAGTTTTGCTATGAATTAATGACATTCAATGTTACATTATTTTATTTAGTCGTAAGAACTTAGAACTTTTGCAAATGTGTTCCTAATATTCGTATATTAGGAACACATTTGCAAAAGTTATTCAAAATCAACGCCAAATAGCCAAATGATTATTAGGTTTATCGCCAGAGGTGAAAAGAAATTAATAGATCGTGTAATTATCTATTAAAAATGGCATCTATCCTATAGATAGGTTTTGATTTACCTGGAAAATAATTAAAATATAAGGCAGATTCAAAAGCTTTAGATGTTTTTTTTGGGATGTAACACGTGTCCTTTAAACTGGACGATCTACAGCACATAGATGAGATTTGAAGACTACTATTCAACCGCAAGATGATGAAGACAGAAATACAAGACATATAGAGAAAAAGGAAGAAAACAACTAGAAGACTTTCCAATTGCATTTCCATCAGGCAATTATCAATAAAAACGCTCCCGACCTGTAGGCCAACGGCTATCCAGTTGGACATAGCGGTTGGACCGCGGGTCGGTAGCAAATTAGAGTATATAAATTGCCCTACGTAATTTACACCACTTATCAATAGACTTTTTAACTAAATGAAGTTAAGGGACAATAATCGTTTTTCTATTATATTGCCTGCCCAAACTTTTATATTGAAAAAATATGCTTCCAATTTTTATAACTTTTATTCTCGAAATGGCCAGCAGATGGCAATTAACTAGCCCTCTATTATCTACACGAGTGGCATAAAAATGACAATGTCAACTCCAAATGTTAGTTAATTACAAAAACACAGGGACTTAGAAATGGAAGGGAAATTTCGTTCGTCGTCTACTACATTTAAGTATTAGTTAAAAATATCACAATGACGAGCGAAAATCTTTAATTTTTACACTAGAACCGTTCGGTCAATTTGACATTACCTTGTGACAGCTAAAGTTGATAAGTTGTAAGATGACCTATGATAGATGGAAAACTATCTGAAAATTAAATTCGTAACACTGATAACTATAGTGTTACCAAATCAAATTATAGATCACTTTTCAAAAAAAAAAAAACAGTAGTAATATTTATATACTTTGGTTTGAATAAGGGGTTAATACTCCTCCGCCTATCCATTGATGAACGACAGACACATATACAAACATGTTATTCAGATTTAATTCGACATAACTACTTAATCGTTAGATATCAAGATTGTTCGGTACTATAAATAATATTTTGAGCATCAGGAACACAATAGGCATGATGACAGTGTTAAAGAATTATAGAATAAATGGTTTAAAATTAAAAAATGTATTGAAAGGGTTCTACAAAATTACATAGTTTTAATTAAAACACCCAGATTTATAAGATTTTAATAAAATAAAAGTATAAAATATAGGCATCGGCCATCTTAGCTGAAACACCAATCAGAGCGATTTACGTCACGCCTAAGTAAACATCACAGAATCTTTCGAATTTTGTTTGTGTTTACACTTTTTAAGTTGTTGTTGCATTATTTAATTTATGATTTATTCGTGGTTATTGTCATAAAGATAAAAGATCCAAGAATCATCGACGATGGAACAAGGTTTTATTAAGGTTTTATTAGCTCTAATTTGCCCAGGATGGACTTGTTGATGTTGGGAGATTTTCTTTCATGAAATAAGGATTTTTGCTCATCTGAATATCGAAATGTGAAAAGTTCCTTGTAAGTACATTTTATTAATATTTATTGTTAACCTTATTAACGTTTTAAATATCATATGTAAAATTCTCTTTAAGGGAGGTAATCTATCAGTTTGACAGGTTTTACGCCCTAACATTTTCAAAACAGCACTAATACAATAAGCACTGAATTCAAATGTTCTGTAACCATATTACTTTCTTCCGATTGCTTTTCACACTATTCAAGAGCCATCAACTTTCGTTTCTTACTTATATATGGTCGGTCTACGGTATTACAAGTTCGTGACTTTCTATCTGGTTGGCAGTCAAATTTATGGGGAATACATCCTGGTTTCATACGCACTTGTGATACTGACCCCATTATATGATATTGCATGTAGTTTTCCATGTCATTTGGTAGCTGAAAACAGAAATGTGATATAGAAATTGATAACAGACCAAAACAAACATAACCTTAACAATTTTTATATTGTGAATCACTTCAACTATTTCATCTCTAACAATGATTTTGAGTTACATATCTATCAATCTATATCAAATACTTACATCAAAGTGGTCTTCACAAAAATAAATTGGCGAATTCGTAACTACACCTGCTGGATCTCGCCGCGCGAGTTTTAGCCATGTACTTATCTCTCATTTTTTCTTATTTGGAACATAAACAAACAATTTGTTAGGTGTTGCTATTGATGTATTTTTGCAATCAGGTACCGCACACCACTTATAAATTTTGGAATTCATTTTTAACACACAAAACCCATAGATAACACTTTGTTGACTTGTTTCGTTGAGCACAGATGTTTTAATTACTTAGGCGTGACGTCATCGCAGACGAAATGACACTTCAGAGCGTTTGCGCGCGAATTTCAAAGTAGATGAAAAGAAATGGAATTATTTACGTTAAAACTCATCTGATTCCTGAAATCATGTTATTTTCGTAAATAGTTGACGTCTACCTATATTATAGAAAGGTATTTCAAAATCTGTCATCATGCCTATTCTAACTTAGTACAAATTCTACGTGTATTGGACGGTCATTGCCCTATGTTGTTTTCACGTCCTAAACGTTAACTTTGAGTCCAAAACACCAAGTTTATGCAATGGCGATTTGTAATAACATCGCGATGTCCGTTTTTATCATATTTGATTACTATCTGACATTTTCTCCAAGTATTCCAAGTTTATGCAAGCCTGTTTAATCATAATATTTATCTGCAATGAACACATAATTTAATAAAAACCGTCTATTACCAAAAATGTATCATTTTATTATACAAAACATTGCCATGTAAAATCATAACTAAATTATTGTTAAAATTATACAAAATATCAAAATTTAAAGCTAGCGCAGCGCTGATTTGAAAGTAGAATACGTGTCTAATACATAAGTGTTAGTATAGTTGATGAAATTTCAATTATCAGATTAACAATTAATACTAAATATAGTAAAAAAATGTGGGCTCACAATTATCGATTTCAATAAAATTATAGCCTCACATTAAAAATTGGTATCACAACCATTTTCTTGTACACAATTTATATGGAATAGCAACCAATTCTCACTCTAAAAAGTGTTTATAACAAGTCTGTAACTGGATTACACTTAGAAAAAGGTATCATACGAAACTTGCTCCTTACACTACTAATAAATCAGTCGATTTCAATTAATTATCGCAGAATTAGTTTATGGCACATATTCTTTCCTGGTCATTCATACCACACAGTGCGAAAAAATGTCATGGATATTTGATATGGCAGTATATCACTATACCACAAAGAGAATCTGATCAGTCTTGTTTTCTTCTCATCAATTAATAAAAAATGAGTCTGTCCTTAAAACTGTAACCCTAAAAATAGTTTTTTTAAATACTTCATTTCACAGTAAGTAGTCCTTTGGGCACGTGCAACACGAATTTGAACTATTAAATCTTACTTCTACTTAGTTTTAATTATTTGTAAGTCAACACACTTCTTGTAACAATTAATGTTAATTTAATGAGTTTCGTTTTTGATATATCACGATATGTTAGTTTCAGTCAAAGCTGAACTTAACCTCCTCGCGGGACGGATCGTTGTTCGCAGCGACAGCCTGCAGCCAGTAACGACTGATCTGACTTTCAATGGACGGAGTACTCTCCTTGCGTGTGCTGGCAGCTCGTGCCTTACGCTTCGCCTTACTGTGTTTGGTTCGTCGACGCCCCACCTTAGTCTTCATTTCGGCGATTTTAACAGACAGTTGGCTATCGAGCGAGTTGCGGCGAGATTCGACCGAGACATGCCGAAGGCTGATACTGATCTGCGAGTCCTGCGAGTTTCGTCGGTCCGGTGTCGAGCTGAGGGAGTGGTGAGTGTGCGTGGGGAGAACTAGAGCGTCGCGACGACGGACAAAACGTGGTAGAGTGGCCGCCCAGGATGAGGACAATTCACCACTGGAAAAAAGATTTGATCTAAGTTGACGTCAGTCGCGCTGATTGCTATTTTTGAAATTATAGAGATCTCTCATTTATCTATAGGTACCTTTCATGTTTAGCATCATCTGGATAATCGGCAGGTGACGTCGGGTCGATACAAAGCCCGACAGGATCCTGTCTCGATCCTCCCAACGAAATTGATAGGCGACCACGTGCCGCAAACTCGCCGCGACGTCTATACGCACGAGCGATCAACTCGTGTTTGCGAGCTCGACGGGTCACTTCCGCCTCAACTGAACACCCACATTTCCTAAACAAATTAAAATTCTCGTTGTAATTAAGGTCTGAACAGTTTAAAGACACTAATGAAGAAAAGGTTAATCGTTTGTTTTGTGGTAAATTAAAATATCGATTTATGGTCTCGACCCGTTTAACTAAAATAATAGGGAAATTTCTATTTTTAAAGAAAATTTACATAACAATGAGCTGATTTAAATCTCAGTACTTTAGTTCTTAACTATTTGCTAGGTAAAAAGGGTTTATTTTTATTATACTGTTTTCAATTATCGTAGTTATTAAACCCAGTATTTACGATATATTGAATTACGTCTATGTGGACTTCTTAGTATTTTATTTATAGTTCAATATCAAAGTAATAAAATAAAAATATAGGTACAATCAGAAATTGGCAGGAATCGCAAGATTAGATATAAGGGTAAGGGAACGGGCACGCCGTTATTGCGGCGGTAAGACCGAGAGCGAGAGTGCGTGGAACTCCGCCGTCTCCTTCTGCGAGCAAGTTATGCTTGCGAAGGACATGGCAGAGCGGGACTTGGAGACGACTCGGGCGCCGGAGGTCGCAGAACGACCTCCGTCCTCTATAAGCGCAGGCCTGAGGTGACGTACCCGAGTAGGCGTGCGGTTTTTGGTCGGTTCGAGTCCAACATAATCACTAAACCGGTGGGTGATATCCGAGGGGATTTCCGCACAGGAAAAAAAGATAAAGGTGGCTCACCTGGCCAAGTAGCGCCTCCAGGCGGCGGCGGCGGCGGGCGTCCACGTCCAGGAGGCCATGAGCGCGCCGCCCGCGAAGCAGCACAGCAGCCGCAGCTGTAGCACCGACACTGACGGCCGGCTGCCGCCCGAACACTCCTTCTCGCCGTCCTTCAGCGCTTCCAGGCGACAGCTGCTCGAATCAAATTAAATTTTACCGTCGATTTTCTATATAGTATTATAAATGATATGACAATGTATGAAATAAAAAAATGTATTAGAAAAACTGCATCTTTATTGAGCTAAACGCCTGTTGTCTAATGTGTTGACCCGTCATGAAGTAAAAGTCAATGAACTCTAACACTGATAGTTCAACATCTATTGGCACTTTAACTTTAGATTATCTTCAAAAATCATACCTTGAAACAATTTCAACAGTTCTCTGGTTTAAACTCTTAAGAAACTACAAAGAAGGTAAATGTTGTGTGTTACGATTATTATTTTTAACATTAGCAGGATGGATTTTTCAAACCATTTAAACATTATTATTATTATTATTAGGGTATTATGGACGAGCAGCAAACTTACTGATGTGTCCACATCACTGTGATGTAAGAGTTCCCTGTACATGATTAAACGGTTGTTTAGTCCAATGGGTTGTGCTTTTCTAACCATATATCTAGTTGGCACTTAAAACTGTTCACTGTCTTTACGGTCACAACATTTTCCGGAAGCTTGTTCCATATCGCAACAACACGATTGTTCAACTTATATGTTTTTCGCGTTTAGCGTTTACATTTGTAAGAACGTTTACAATCAGTTACAAAAAAAACCATCAACTTACATGATATTCTTCTTAAAAGACTCCTTCCACAGATCAGCATTTCTAAACTCATAAACATGACAGGCGAAGGTAACGCATATGAAAACAGCTACAAGTGCTGCAGTGAGTGAGCAGCGAGTTATCGTCTGCCGAATCTTGTTTGCGGCTCGTGGTGATATCACATCTTTACTCGACACCCTTACAGCGATCAAGGAAAACACGCCTGCAAACATAAGTTTTTTTAACCAAATACACGTAAACAGATCGGCCACTTCCTGAGCAGGGCAAATGGATGCTGAATTCGAAGTGAGTGCATTTGATTGTACATACAAAATATGTTACAAAAGGTTTGCCAGCATTTGATTATTTAAATATTGAGTAAAACTTACTTCTCAATCAATTTAATCACAATGAGATTTCGCTGTTGTAATTTAAAAAGTTCAAACCTCAACATCACAAACATAGTTTCATTTTTTACCAGCTACAATATTTGTCCTACTGCCTAATGTTAATTTCTAAAACGAAACCAATAAAATTTATTTAGAGTAATCTTGATAAAAATTATGTGGAAAAATGTAAAATACCGCGAATAAAAAAATTACAACATCACCTCTTACCTCGTAACAAGAAATATCCTCCAAGCAACAAGACAATAGACAACGGGGCGAGTAGCAAGGCTGCTCTCATTGGATGATTCACGTATCCGACGAAACATATCCCCGTGACACTGCTACCATCCACCTCGCCGAACGCCATCGTCGCAATCGTCAAAATTAAGGGAAGTGACCACGCCACGAGGTGGAAATACGCCGCCTTCTTGTCTATACGATCTTGGATTTTGCCTAAAGCCCGAAAACTCATATGCCAGGCATATGTGAATATGACGAACCAAACGCAAGCTGCCATCATGAAGTAATATACCTGTAAAATAAATTAGAAGATATTGCATTTTTATATAACTAACTTGGTAAAAACAAGCAAACGACTGTCTTATGGTGAACTAACCGGTGCTTATGAACACATTTCAGTATCAAATGTTTTATTTGGGTCTTGTCAAATTAATTCAACCTGGCGATAAACAGTTTTTTTTTTATCATTATGAACGAATACAATACCTGTTTTATGTTATTATATTAAATTGGTTAACCTTCTGAGGCACACTATCGATAATATAATACATATATAAATAGAATACTTAAAAATATTTCTTGAATCATTTGATTGGCTATTCTAACAACTACTACACTAAATGGTTCAATTTAATGAATCTAACAAAAAGTTTGACCAGATACGTTTTGACAGTTCATAATCACTTGCAAATCGATCATCTTGAAATAAACTAAAACTTTTAATAGTTACCAGTACAAAGACAACAACGCAGGATAAGTTTTCCTCGGCTGATGGTTCACCCTGTCGAGTGGTGCCGTCCTTAGAACACACGATGTCATCTCTAGATCCTACACCGAACTGGATAAGCCACCTATAAACAACATAAATTTTAAAATATGGATATAATAACTCGTACCTACATTGAAAAAGTTGGTCTCAAGAAAATTATTCTTTGTCAAAATCAGGAATACTTTAAACATTAAATATACACAATCTAACAAACAGGTCGTTATGAAAATAAAAATACCTACCCCATAGAAGCGACAGCAAAACACACGTTAATATAGAAGATAACCAGTGCAGGGTACTTATTAGCACTTCTCCAATCTATGAGAAACGTAGCAACAGTCAGTAAATTGAGGGCCAGGCATATGCCTGCCCCCCATGCTACTAGTCTGTGGATTTGTTGGTGCTCATCCTCTGTGTAAAGGGGATCACGACAAGGTAGGCCGCAGCCTGATATACCTGGACAAAAAATACGGTAGTTATAAGGATTGTCTGGTTTATTTTTCTATAATAAATGTATTTAATTTTTTTGCATCAAAAAAGTAAGTATGCAGCTCTAGTTCTATTTCGTAAAAGTATTTGTTATTAGAAAAGAACTCAGTGGCGTAACAAACTAAGAATAGAAAGAAATATCTATTCTCAGTAATAGACATATTACCTTATATGTGAGGTGGAGTTAGCAAAATGTGAAATAGACGTACGCCTGTATAGGCGTATACATACATACATCCTTTTGATAGTGACGTGGGACTCCTTTCATATCACGGCATAACATTTCTTTTTAAGATTAAATTAACTAATAGTTTGTAGCCCATTAATTACAGCTCACCTTCGTAGAAACGTAGAGGTTTGTCGGTATGGATAAGAGGTGGTAAACATTTGCCTGACGTATTGAACTTCATCTCTCGTACGGCGTTCTCACATCTCGAAGGAAACAGTGTCGAATTGCATTTCAAAAAGGACGGAAAATAAGAGGTATTGTACAGTATTAAACATGGCTCCATAGTGATCTTGCACATCTCATAGGATGGCAAATAAACCATGTCGTGGCCCAGTATTTTCTCACACTTTGGCATAAAGGTCGCACATAATAAGGGCTGTATGACTGCCCAACAATTTGGCACATTGATCAGTTCTCTATATAGCTCCAGCTGTGTCTGAATTTTGTACTGATTTTCATAAAATGTTAAATGAACGCTTGTTTTGTCATATGGCAGTTTTGATCCTAAGCAACTAGATTTGTTGAGTGGTTGACAAAATGCTCTTCTTACGCAACTATTGAGTTTAATTTCTCGTTCAGGGAGCCATTGTGGACTTTTGTCCGGTTTGATCAGCCTAAAATTTGGCGTGCCATTTATAATTTCAAGGCGTTCTGTAACATTGTCGCTCGTATCTGTTATAGAGTTTTGATCTCCACCATTGTCGAATTGGCTTGCGCGACACACTAGTATCGTTAGAAACCCACACAACCATCTCCGAGAAGTCATCTGAAACAAAAGAATGGGGCTATGACTATCCATCACTTGGAATACATTAAGGGCGAAAAAAAAAAGAATTAAAACTACACTTAATTTCTCAACAATTCTTTATTTGTGCAGGTCGAAGGCAGTGTCAAATGAAACCCTTTTAATTTTCAAAAATTTATTCTTTCAACAATGTGTTCAGAAATCTTATTATCACCTTTAAAATAATAACTAATTATCCAAATTTTGCATTTGTCCAAGGGTGAAGGATTTTTGGTTTTAAGGGTGAGTCAGTACACTTGAATGATAAAATGTTTATGATCTAAAAATTCCATCTTCACCGGCTACCTCCGTGTATGAGATAATAATACGATGAAACTAAATATTCTAGCAGTATTAATCGACCTTTAACCTTTTTCACATTCCTTGAGAGATAAACCCTCTACAATTGTGTACTTCAAATATTGGTTTTGCAATGAGATATTATTATATTTTATTTGAAAATTAAATAAATCATACAAATAGATATGTACATAGACCATTGATAAAATACTTTAATATATTTGTCATAATCTGCACCATTTGATTACGACTAATCTGCTGCATCAGTGAAAATTGACTTAGGTAAATTGTAATGGTTAAATGTTTAACTAATAGGTTCGAGGGCCCTTAACTTAATACTATACTCATGAAAAATCTGTTTTATGAATATTTATTCTTAAAACCCAACTCGGATGGAAAATTCTTTTAGTGGGCTTTCTAACCATTTATTGAGAAAGGCTACATAAAATCACGCTACGACCAATAGAAGCCAAGCCTCAATGTAAAATGTCGCAAAAACGGGGAAATGTATTCCCTTTGAGACGCACAGGCGAAGTTGCGCGGGTAAGCTAGTATGTTATTTTCCGATTTGATTTGGTAAATAAAAAAAAAACCTGAAATAAAGGAAATTGATCTATAGCAGTATCTTTTAACTGTATTGTAAAATTTAGTACTATAATTTAATGTATTGTCACTCAAAAATATGTATATAAATTTCGAAAATGTATGCGTAAATATCTGCTACTTTATCATGCTAAAAAGACTGGAGAAATTTGCATAAAAATTTTGAGACATATTGTGTCATTAAAACACAGGGACAGAAAACACCTCTACTATAGTTCCTATATGGTTATATAAATAGGAAAAAATACTTCTTAAGGAGTAATTTACTTTTGTATTGTAATATAAAGTAGTAATTGGGTGTGATTGGATATTGTTTTTCCGACAGTCATCATTACTAGTTGGAAAAAATCATGAAGTAATTATACACTTCTACACACGTCATATGGAAATTAAGGATCACCTATTAGATATTACATATGTCAGCCTATGACCAAGACCAGTGAAACCTGGTTGTAATGTTTTGTAATTCAAAGAAATGTAAGAATTATTATGAGACTTTCATAAATACATTTACATAATTATATATCTTGGAACAAAGTTTATAAAACGATGAATTAGCTCTTGACGATATTCTTAAGCAATAATTATTTTATGAACTATAGTGGGTCTCAGAAGGAATAAAATATTTCATTAACTTGTGGATAAGTTTTTTAAGTAACAATCTTAGAATTCTAACAGTATAAGAGACACTTTTGAGAAAAAGAACCAAAATGGTACTCTGAGCCACAATCACCAAACAGCTTTACATACTATTGAGTATTTTATAAAAAATAATTTGATTATTATGTTTATTAGAATGATGGAAATCAACTGATTGAATAACTTGTACAAATCAACATTAGTCACTAAGTCCTGTAGACAGAATTTATTTATTCTATCTCTCAGTGGAGAGCCAATTCTTCGGCTGGAATTTGCATAAGATATGATATACAACAAAAATAGGTGTATATGAAGGTTCAGACAAAACATTAAGTATATCAATCATGGTCTGCTATGTTAAATAAAACATTCAAATGTGTTTAATTTTAGTAAAAAATGTAACAATGTTATAATTAATAATCAAACATAAGTAGAATTTATCATTAGTGTACTGACAGACACAATGTATGTATAGGACAGGATGACCCTTGGACGTAGCAGCAACAATTTAACCCCAGTGCTTTATTTATTTAACCCTGTTAAAAATCTTTTATTATTTTACATGGTAATCCAGTAACTTTTATTGAAGAATCTCTTTATTATTAACAAAACAAATTCAAAAAGTACCAGGCTCTTACTATAAGGTATGATGAACTGGTTGAAGCCATGACTCGAATGAAAATCTGCCTGTGGTTGTATGATGTAACTTGCTATCTGCTGACCCTTCCAGATGTAAGGATGTTCCTCTTCTGTTGTCCAAATAATTACCTGATGCCATGACAAAGAATATTAACATACATTTAACATTTAAATTAACTCACTGTGAAACTGATCAACTTACCAAAGGCTGCACTCACATGGAAGTAAACACATCTGAACTAGAATCAGTATTTTGTGACATAATATAAATTTATTATGTATTTAGCTTATTAAAATAAAATACAAGGCGTAAATAAAAATTATGTACAACCTTTTGCATAACATCACTGTATTGTCTTGCTTTAACACTTTCGAAACACTGCTTAAAGTCTCGATTAAAACGTAAAAAATTAATGAGTCTATCATAAAAAACAAAATGAGGATGGCGAGTTAGTTAGATATAGGCTTACCACCTCTTCTGAAATTTCGGTTGCCACCACCCCCCCTACGTCCTCTCGGTGTACTGCGTTGGCCTCCACTATTTCTCCAGTTCCCTCGACCGCCATGACCATTCATGCCTCGACCTCTTCCGCGCGACTGACCACGCCCTCTATAACCTCCTTCCCATCTCTGATTTCGCACATTGCTATAAGTGTCATCTCCATTACCATCATCGTTGTAATTTTCTTCACCATAGCTTTGATCATTATACTTTTCTTCTTCATTGTACTCATCGTCATTCTGATTATATTGTTGGTTTTCAAATCCAGAATCATAGTGAGACTTATTGAAACCATTATCAGAAAATGGTGGGCGAGGTGGCATATTATTCATAGGCGGCATGTTACCCATCGGTGGCATATTCCCCATCATATGCGGTGGCGGCATGTGCATTGGTCCCATTGGGTGCATTGGCCCCATAGTGCCCAATGGTGGTCGCATTATGTTGCCTATAGATGGTGGCATATTACTTATATCAGGCCCATTATTATAGCCTTGGTCTTCCTCTTGACTGTTTTGAGTACTAGTATCCATTTCATTATCATAAAAGTCATTTTCTTGTTCATAATTAACATAATTTTCATTGTCATTATCATTTTGACTCTCAGAAGCTTCATTGTCCGGTTCAGGTTCAGGGTACTCAAATGGTTGGAAATTCTCTTCATCAGCATCATCTTCTAGATGGGGCATCACATCATGCAGTTCTTCTATTTCACCAGATGCAATATATTTTTTTAATGCTAAAGGTCCATCTGATATAGCCTTTTCTAGTTTTGATCCAGCTTCTACAGGAATTAATTTACCATATATAACTATTGCAGATGGTGTTATTTGTTGAAGTGGTATAGCCCCAGGTACTGATTCAGCTAGAGCTTGAGTTAGAGCCTCAGTAGCAGAGTCATCATTACTGGGACCATGATTCCATTGCGCCTGAAAGTTTCTTGGTATAGGTTTGCTGTATGGTACTTTTTTGACCTTTTTCTCAAATTCCATTGGGACAAATGTTGTGTCCAAATCTAGACCTGGAATGACTTTGTCTGTATCTGATGAAAATATTTCTACTTTATCTTCAGGACCCATACCTGGTATAATTGCAGGTTCTTCTAAATCATGATCATCTTGAACACCTGGTGGTAGTGTATTCAAGTTGTATTTGTCTCGCATTAAGTCACCCGGTCTGTTTCTAGTCCAAAACTTAGATGTGTGATCATTTGAACCTGAGCATAAAATGTGCCCAAGGGGATGCCAAGCCATTGTCCAAACTATTGATTCATGTGCTCCTTCAATACCACCTACTTCTTTGTCAGTTCCAACATTCCAGAATAAAATAGCTCCATCAGAACCACCAGAACAAAATAATCCTTCATGAGTCGGATGCCACACTACACTGGATGCTTCTTTCTTGTGTCCTCTAAATATTTGAAGCTCTGTTCCTAATTTACGAATATCAAATAATTTAAGTAAATGATCTCGAGAAGCAGTTATTAACCAGTTGCCATTGTCATTCCATTTCAGATCCATAACAGTTGATTTATGAGCATGTAATGTAGACAAGGCTGTCCCTGATTTTGGATCCCATAATTTAATTGGCTGCTGGTTATCTTTACTTCCAGACACAATTAATGCTTTTGTGGGATGCCACTGTACACATTTGACATCGGCACCATGTCCTCTTAATATTCTCTCTTCTTGACATCTATAGAAATCAAAAATCCGTAGAGTGCCATCATCAGAACATGTTACAATTTTGGAATCACTGGGACTAAAACTAATACCTCTAACTGCCTCTTTGTGAGCCTGATACATTTTAACATTGTTCATGTTACTCTGCCAATATTTGATGAAACCTGAATGGTCACCAGTCACCATCCATCCTTCGCCATGGGACCAAACCATTGATCTAACGGGTGAATCATGAGCTTGGAGAATAGTTTCAAAATTAAAGGTCAACCCATTCCATAATGTAAATTCTCCAGAGGAAGCCCCCGTAATTAAACGTCGACCTTCTGGCGTCCAAGCTACAGCGAATATGGGACACCTCATTTTGTTTGTAGCTGTTTTAACAAAACGTGTAGTAACGGCATTAATTGGATTATCGGGATAAGAAGGTGGCGGCAACATATCGGGCGTATACATAGCGTCTGGTTGCAATGCGTGTCTGTCCCGCCAATCCCTCTGCCAAACACGACATTCTAAAGCTTTAATGATAGCTGCGTTGTAGTCTACTGTTTTACGCATAACAGATTTACGTAAACGTTTACCGTCAAAGTCATCTTGAGTCATATTCAGCGGCCCTTGGGGTGGAAATCGCATCTGGTAATTGAAAGGCCTAAAGTTATGTCGCATATTGTTTCTACCCGGTGGACCCATCATCGGCGGACCCATTGGTGGCCCCATCCCCATACCCATACCTGGTGGAGGCATTCCCATATTCGGTGGAGGGTGTCCAAAATCCATGGTTACTTACTTGGATACCTAATTAAAAAAATTGGTATATTACAATCACGGCCATTAAAATTAAGGATTCTTCTGCGTATGGCCAATTATAAAATCTTTGTTTTTCTTACCTTATACATACATGAACACTAAAACATTATTTTCGCTTTTTTTACAACTGCACAGTACACTCATTTATTTTTATGTAGCACGATACGACAATTATGTACAAACAGAAAACTCGGAACACAACTTTAACCTATTTGGAATGCTAGGCCAAGCAAATCGGCCATGATGGTAAATCGTAGAGATGCCGGTCCCAAGCCAACATAAACTTACTAAAATGTTCAAACTTACTAAATTGTCATGAGAAGCTCGACTAAACTGTTAAATCAGACACACTTCATTTTTAATGCAAAACACTCTGCTTTTTTTTCTGAAATTACGTCACAAATAATGATTAAATGAGTATTTTATAACTTTATTTTCCAGGATAATAAATTAAAGTTTTTAGACCTTACCTTTCGAATAGTGCACATTCGTTGTCCAATGTTTTAGAATTATATTTTCATGTTTGTATTCATACTTCGCTTGATTGATGAATAGTCGTATTGATCGTCATCTCTGAACATTCATACACTACGCCCAAATATTGCTTTAATTATGAAAGAAACTTATTTTTATCTTCAAGTTTCTCCGGTACCCAAAATAATAAAACTATCTTGTGTAATTCGTGTGGTAACAGATTAAGAAGACGGAGTGTCACCATCCCTATTCATCTCGTAAGAGCCGAAGAACAAACATTGCAGGAAAACCGCACTACAAACAAAAGGATAAATACACAAACCCTTCGACACAATTACCAACCCATCTGGTCGGCGTGGTATAGTAGACCAAAATCTCCTTTCTAAGGAGGGGCCTATGTCCAGCCGTAGACTATTAAAGGCTGTTGATGATGATCTAGAAACAATTTAAAAAACCGGTCAGGTCGAACTCGTGCGCCGAAGGTTCCGTACCTACCCAGATTTTACATAGATTTTCGCGAAAATTTGTAAGTACCAAAATTTATCTTAATTTTCAACTTGTATGGGCGGAGGCCTGAAGCAACGTCGCACGACGATCGCACCGAGTGCTGGTCATCAGGATCATAAGGGGGTACCGCACGATCTCCTTTGAGGCGGCGAGTCTCATTCGGGATCGTCAGCAGTCAGTCAGTATGGAAGATTCTTTCTCTGGCTGGTGTGATCTTGCTGCTGACGTCCCTCAAGGCGTTATTCTTTCACCTCTTCTATTTTCTATCTTCATTAACCTTATCACCCTTAGACTTCAGTGTTCCTATCACCTCTACGCTGATGATTTGCAGTTGTACTACCAAACAGAGTTGTGCAATAGGTATATCGTGTAAGTTTTATTTCTAATTGTAAACAGTGACCTGGCGGCCATTAAACACTGGTCCGATATGTTTGGTGTATCAGTGAATCCGAATAAATGTCAGGTCATTATCATCGGGAGTAACCGTGGTATAAGCCGACCTTATTGACCTATATATTGACCTTACTACACTGTCACCTCTTATCTACGATGGTATGGTTTTTCCATATTGTGAAAGCGTGAAAGGCCTCGGACTGTATATTGACACGACTCTTAGCTGGCGGAAACAAGTTGCATCTGTGTGCCAGAAAGTCACAGGCTCGTTGCGGGCCCTCTATAGGCTTAAGAACTTTCTGCAATTGAAAACTAAGGCAATGCTTGTTCAGACTCTAATATTTCATAACTATGGTGATGTGTGCTACTTTGACCTGAATGCAGATCTAAACAATAAGCTTGACCGCCTTCTCAATAATTGCATTCGATTCGTTTTCAATTTACGCAAATATGATCACGTGTCTCAGCATCGCTCCCTTTTGGAGTATCTTTCAATTCGCCAACGCAGAGAGACACGAGCATTAACTACCCTATATTCTTTACTCTTTTCTCCAAGTTCCCCCTCCCACTAATATTTAGGTGCAAACCACGCTAAAACCCTTCATCTTTAGGCAACCTATTTCTTCACTGTCCCACTCACCGCCCTGACTTCGTACATTCTACTTTCCTGGTACAATCGGTTCTGTTATTGAAATCGCTTCCTCTCGAGATCAGGTTGGCAAAAACTCGGCAAACTTTTAAATACCAGTAGCGGAAACATTTATTAAACTGCTTATCAAATCTACCTTTTTTTCGACTCTCTCCTCTAGAATGTATTTTTTTCGTATGTAAGTAATATATTTCTACTCATCATCAATATATATATATTGTATGTATTTATCATGTGTATGTTTGTATGTGTTACTATCATTATCACTTATTGTATATGTATTATTAAGTAATGATTATTCTAATGTAATTTAATATAAGTACTCTGGGTATATGATATCCTATTTCATAAAATCACATTTTAAATTTCTGTGCATCTACCATGTTTTATCTCTGTATCGCCGTAAGGTTGACTGGGAGAAAATGCCTACGGCATTAAGTCTGCCTTTGTCACGTTTGTAGATAAAGTATAAATAAATAAAAAATAAACCACTCTCGAGTCTAAACGCGGAAATCAAATCCAACACCAATACCATTCGCACACATGACTACAACGACTACAACATTTTCCTTCGATCAAAACGTTCAGGAGTAAAAAAGCAACATCTCAATGTTTCATTCACAGAGAATAGCATAGAGTGAACACGAGGTACAGCTGCCTGTAAGTGGAAGCGATAAAGGCAACGAGACAGCTGGATGCTCGATAGTTCCCTCTGTCTCTCTTAAGATAAGCTGCAACTGGCTATCGTGAAGTGGGCATGGTCTTGATCGTAGAACAGGCGGGAGTTTGGAAATTTCGTAAACAAATTGGGTGTAATTAATTCAAACATAAGGTATACATAACACATAGTTTAAAAACTTGAGGTAAACCTTTCAAAGCCGTTTAAATGTTTAAATGCACAAGTAGCAAAAATAATTGTTTGCAGGAATTCTGAACAACAGTAGTTTAAACTGAATAACTTCAACCGATAAACATTATGTAAGTAAACAATATGTTCATAAAAATCAATTAAAAATTGAAACATCAATCTAAACTGATTTTAAAATACACGATAAAAATATTATCTATAAATAAATAAATGAAGTATAGCTCAACCAAAGAAAGAAATGAGACACGGTGTATAAAAAAAATAATATTATAAGTCTATCAAACTTATTTTACATATAAATGCAAATGATTGAGGTTAGAATTAAACTTACGTGTGAAAACTACGTTCATTCAGAGGAGAGCAAAACTTCTTTGCATTGAAAAAAAATGCTTCTTTTTTCGTTTTGAATTTACAGCTTTTCATTAAAAAGAGTTTACAGCTTGGCAAAATGAAATAAACAACTCAGTATGCCTTATTAACCTCTCATATTCCCCAGCCAATCACAAAGCTTGACTAGGAAGAGATAGAGGTAACCATCTAACATCCATCTCTCTCGTTCTCTGTATTGCGAAATTGGGGCTTTTTACTCTATGTTTATATCTCTATGTAATTTTTTTAAAGTTTCATTTTTACAGTTGTAATTTAGGGTTGGGGTTCTACAAATCGTCATTGTGAATAATCAATTCAGATTCCAAATGAATTTACCATCGAAACATCGTTAACCTTTTTAAAATAGTTATACCTACTTGTGTCTAATCTGTTTTTTAACACGCTTTTATTAGCTTGATATATAATTGTGTGTATTTATGTAACAGAATCTTCAAACGTGAGTTTCTCCTCCTTTGATTGAATTCAAACTTCGGACACTTATCAAGGACCGATGAAAATTTAATAAATTTGTCTGAATATAATGATCAGGATCTTCAGAATTAACGGCTTTTTCCATCACTAAAAATACAATAGTGTGTTTGCCACGTACTAAGGCGTATGCTAAAGCATATGTGACTTGCTTACTTTTACTTTTTTAGATGTGAATAAGAAAATAATCTTCATTAATGACTAAAAAGCAAAAATAATTGAGTTTAAAAAAAACACTTTTAACTAACCGGACTAAAAAATAGAAAATAATTTCTATAAGTTTAAAAAGAAAAATTACTTTTTTGTAAAAAAACGTGTTTCATTGTTTCTTTGAATTAATACCAATTTATAAAAAAAAAACGTTTATAAAATTATCATTGTGAAAAACATAAATACTTAAAAATCGTTTATCTTAAAGAGCCTATTGGTCTAGTGGACCAAGTGTTTAGTGATATTGACTGCTAAGTCGGAGGTAGTGGGTTCAATTCCCACCCAGGACAAATATTGTGTGATGAGCACGATTATTTGTCTCTGTGTAATTTATCTATAGTATTTTTTTATTCTACCACATTCACCAGTCCGGTTACCATGGTACAAGCTTTGCCTAGTTTGGGATCAGCCGTGTGTCAGAGGTGCCCAGTTATTATTATTAATTAGAATTGTTTTATATTTTATTCAAATTGTGCTAAGTTACGTTCTCTAGGCACAGAACGTCAGTTTCATTTGTCAAAATGCAGTTTCTAAATTGTTTTGACTGTATGTGTAGGTATCTCCAATTTCCCTTTTCTCTTTTCGTTCATAAAATAGATGCAAGGAAAACCATATCTCTGTATGATAAGTGTTCGTAAAAACGCGTCCAATAAGGGTGCCGCTGCGGTAACCTAGGATGAATTTATGTTGGCTTAAATAATAATTAGACATTTGTGTACTAGACTGCGAAAATAGTCATTAAGACGATAAATAAACGTGTAGTAACTTGCCGACAGTAAAAGTATTATAAAATTGTAACTCAGCACACTTCACTCCATCTACAACAGCTATGTTCATATCGTAGTTTTTTTTTATATTTAGTTATACTAAATATAAAAAAAAAACAATACATTATTACGTATACATTATTACGTATTTTCAGTATACAGACACTTTTTTAACTTGCCATATGAAATGGGTCTCCTTGCCCTTACACTCCATAGTTCGTAAGGGTTTGCAGTCTCAGCCACTTCATACTTACTTACTTACGTCATCGTTAAACACTCTTAAAGGAAACTGCATTAAGTGTTTGCAATATTTTTATTACGAATCTGAATACCTGCCCCGTAATGGTTGAACTGTATATCAATAAAGTTAGATGAAAATAGTCATTTTTCATTGAATTTCCTTTCTTGATAGATCAGCATTTATATGTTATAAGGTTTTTAAGAGCGTCTTTCTAAACAAATTAAATGTCCACAAACGGGAAACAGAATTATCTCAATTTTAAGGGGGCCACAGGGTTCTGATATTATCTTGAAGCTTCTCAAAATATTTGAAATAATACTTTTCATTACTAGGAATGCAAAATGGCGACCTGCAAAACATGAAATATTATTTAATATTTATCCGTTTAATAAACAAAATATTTAAAAATTCTATTTTTTGGTTAATTTGGTGCATTTCTGGAAAATATTTTGTCATATTTGACTGCACGGATGGCGCAGTGGTTTAAGTAGTCACCTCGCCGCTTTCTACTGCGCTTAGTATTGTTGGTTTGATCCCCACATAGGACAACACTTGGTGATCCACATGTTGTTGTGGCCTCTGCCTTGGTGTTTTTGGTATTGTTTCGTGTATGTTTGTAAAATGCCCCGCGACACAGTATTTATTCCTAGTGCAGGAGTTGTCTTTCAAAAGAAAGAAAGTTATATTGTTGTCAAGTTTTTACTGAATGTAGTTCTTGTAAATCTGTCGTAATAGCTGTCTTCAGCTATCTTAATTCCAGCCATGTATGTAAATGCCAATAACCATATAGTCCACCGAAATTGTACATTTTTTGGGCTTATCGTGCATTTGTCAGACGACGCATATTTATTTTTTAGATATCAAGGAGTGTTAAGTAAAATCCAAGTTTGTGTGGTTGCAAACCTTGTTACACCGCCGACATCTTGGAGAAATGGGTACAAGTGGTTTATCTGACAATCTATAGGCCTGTCAAAAAAATAAGCTAAAAAAATTTTTTTTGCTGATAAAATTCTTTACAACTTTGGTCAAGTGACTGTTAGTCGTGAACCAAAATAACAAAGTATATAATAATATACTCGTACGCGAAAATCGATAAAAATGTAGGAAAAAAAAACTATTGGTCGTTTTAACTTTGTTCTTCATCATTTTACAAAGAAATGATATTAGACTATTCTATTTTCCAGTATTCATAACTATACATAAATATTAATGATTTGCTATAATTTACAATCATCTCTTTTTTTTTTTAATCTTTTTAATTATTGATACTGCAATAGGTATTGTTATAAAATAATTATTGCTCAGGATATGGTAAACCCTCTATATCAAATAGAACGGAATGGTAGAACCGGAGAAGACAGTGGCGTCATTGTCGGCGGTTCATCTTCAAAATCATTTTCCTCCATTAATTTTGAGATTTCCAGTATGTTGCTGCAAGCCTCCTCAGAACACTGGAGGCACACTTGTACCTTTTTCCAAGATGGCGGCCTTAAGACAAGGGTTGTAACCCCACTAACTTGGATTAAATTTTACACTAACCCCTCCTTAATATCTAAAAAATAAAATTGCGTACTCTAACAAATGTAGCCCCAAATGTAACTTTTCAATGGACAATAGAGTCTTAGCAGAAGATCTCATAGACATGACATCTTTAAAAATGGTTTGACGTTTAAATTATAATACCTACTTTGATTAGCATAGAGCGGGAAAATCTTTCATTAAGCATCTTAGTGATGGCACTCTATTAATGATTTCAATTTATTACCTTTTTTTTTACCACCTATCGGTGGCATGCCGGACTCGAACCGACTAAAATAGCCGGGGAACTAGGTATACCCTAGAAAGGAAGTCCCTGGTGCCCCGAAATACCTCGGGCCATCTACAGACGAGTAGACGAAACCCCCCCCCCCCCCCGTGTTCGCAACGTGCTCGCCGCCACCCCGGCCTGCTTCTGCTAGGGTGACAGATGGCCTCACCTGTCACCCCCAGGCCTGCGCTTATGGAGAACGGAGGTCGTAGAAGGAGACGGCAGAGTTACACGCACTCTCGCTCCGCACGATAGCCGCAATCAGGCTATCGAGCGAGAGAACTCCCACTCCGATGGCCGCCACGAGGTCTCGCCTCTGCTCAACCCACGCCGGGCACTCTGCCAGCGTGTGGAGAGCCGTTTCCACGGTCTGGCCATCGCAGTGGTGGCACTCAGGCGTTGGCTCCTTGCGGATCAGACACAGGTGATCACCGAAACATCCTTTCCCAGTGATCACCTGCGTCAGTCGGTATGAGAGGGTCCCGTGACGCCTCTCGAGCCAATCCTCCATAACGGGTCTTACCGCCGCTATGACGGCGTGCCCGTTCAATTTATTACCTGCTGAATATTACGTAATGTCAGAACGTAATGTCAACAAATCCATTTATTTTAACATCGGTACATGGTATAAAGAAGTTAGTACTCTCTATGATTATACATACCTACACAAAACTAAATTAAACAGTAAAGTAAGTAATACCTATACAATTACGTGGTCCAATACTGAACGGCATATAAGCACAGGGATGACGAGTAGCACAATTTTCTGGTAAGAACCTGTCTGGATTAAAATTATCTGCATCTGAACCCCAAATCTTCTTCGATCGGTGCATCACGAATGGAACAATTGCACAGCCGACACCAGCTGGTACAGTGCACGTCGCTGCCATGAAAATTAAGTGTTATACTAATGTAAAAATTTAAATTTCTGTTCATATGATACGCACTCCCGCAGAGTCGCGCACCGGTTTCTGCGATTATAGTACTCGTATATTGTATCACTCATAATAAGAAAGAAATAAAAGTACATGAAAAATGTTGACGATTACACAACATGGTCTGTTCTACTAGTATCGTATTGCACTTTACGAATGATTTCCAATTACAAACTTTGCAAGTCAAGTTTACAAGTCTTTGCTTGCATTAAAGAAAACCATTAGAACCAGGTATTTTCGACGGGTCAGTAAAGAGGTAAATTAATTCGTTTTAATTATGGGTTACTAAAGGATCGCAAGATCTATCGAAGATCGCAAGTCGACGGTGGGTGCAGACTGCTTTCTTCTTGGATGTCATTGAGGAAGGTCTACATTCTTCTACTCTATGTGTAATGCCATGAGAAACTACTCTTTGCATTATTAGAAGTAAACTTTAAATAATGTCATCGTCATCATTATCAGTCTGTCCACTGGTGGACATAGGCCATTCGTATTGCTCACCACTTCGATTGATTATTATCATAATATAATAGATAAATAATAAATTATGTCATTTTAACTTTTAGACTTTTGAAACGATTAAATTTTTGCTATTATCAAAAAATGACGAATTTACCAAATGATGAGCGTCTATTAAACAGAACCTGAATGTATATTTCATTTTATTCAGACCAACTCTTTTATACTTTAATGATACTTCTCGATTTGATATGTTGTTTTTGCCACATACCGTAATGTACTGTAGTACCTAAATAATAATATCTATATATTAATTTTGAACACTTACAAAGTTTCAATTCTGTTAGAGTTTTGCGTGCAATGATAGGGACAACAGTGTATAATCGCATTGTTTCTTTAATAACTCTTTCTAAGGTTTCCATTTTACCCAAATCTTCTTTGGTTGGGATTCTTTTTGAATTGCCAAATATGGACTTCAGTCTGTAAAAATAATTGCATTGATGTATATTTTAAAAATTCGGCTAAAAAGGTAGGTAGTAAGTTCTTCTTCAATGAATAAGATTGTTCAAACAATCATAAAAGAAATCATTCTAAGTCCAGTCTAACCAGTCGAAGATGTTCATGATTTTTGTACTATTTTAATTATTTGGTTTCATATTTCGAAATTGACTATTGCATTTTAAACCAATATTTTAGATACTTACTCCATGTACACTTCCTCTTGTGTGTCTGGATGATTCCCTAACAAAATTAACACGTATGATATCACAAGAGCTGTGGTATCATTACCAGCTATAGTCAAGCTATCAAGGTGCTCACGCAATTCTATGTTGCTGAAATTAATTTCTCTTTCTAACAATATTTGTAATGTGTCTTTTGTGCCTGAAAATAATTAAAATAAATTATAAATGCTTGAGACCTAAAATATTAGCAGTTGGAGTCCTTGTTTGTTCTTCAAGTAAGCGACTTATTAATTGTAATTAATATTAACTTACTTAATTGTAACGAATAACATTTTTTTCCGAAACAATTGTATTTTACTCAATATCTCCTGAAAAGCAGTGATTTTGCAGAAGGGACTATTCTACGGGTAGGTTGAATTAGGTATTTCATGAAATTCTTATGAAATTGCATTCTTTGATGCCTTTAATATGTTCACCAACAAGAGATTTTACGAAACTGTGATACCGTTGCAGCCTTTGCAGCTGACCGCTTTGGAACCTCGATAAGGCTTGTAGAACTTAATCTATATTCAAGAATTATGTTATTTGGATTGTATTCTTTCATTACTTTGTGGGAAATTGTCTCAGTCATTGAAGTAAACTTTTGGCTTTATTATCTACTACAAAAAAAAAATATTTAGCTCTCATATATGTGTAATGATAGGAAATATTTGATTTTGGCCAATTTTTTCATGTAAAGTTTATTAATTTCGAAAATTATTTATAATTCGAATCTACCCTTCGATTACTCACATTGGCTGTTTTACTCGATGCTTACTTATATACAAAAGGTAACAAAATTACATTACCAACCTTCTTTTTCCTCCTCAGATCCATTTATATTATATTTGAATTTGTCATATGCAGTTTTCTTTTTCATTATGACCTATAAGTACAAAAATCTTTTAAATTTAGCCAATATACCTGTATACCTACGCAACTTTGGATCTTAAAGAAGCATATGACAGCTATTTTATTTTTACATGTGGAAATCCAATCGGGCCGTTACCTTAACGAGGTTTGCGGCGGGGTGTCGTGTCGGAATCGAACCGACTAAAAACACAGTGTGCCACTCTGTACCTGAATAGCAGAAATTCGGCCAAGCGGTTATTAAGACATCCGGAAGGCATATCCATTGTTTACACACTTTGGATGTCCGCCTGTTTGTATGAGATATTAAAACCAAGTTGTACCTAAATAGTCAAAATGCAGGCAGTTTTGTACGTTACTGTTTCAGATTAACGTTGAATTTTATTTGACTTCGATAGCTAGACGGATTAGGAGATATGTTAGTTTAAAAATAACTCAACAGTTACACACAATATTTCTCAACACCATTTAATGAAATTCTTTATTTTCTTTCTCTAAAGCAACTTCGTCTGCGTGTCTCAAAAGGAATAAAGTTTCACCGTTTTTGCAACATTTTTGAAGTAAAACTACTTTACGCACGCTTGACTTGGGGAGTAAGCTGGTGAATGCGTAACGAGAGCGTTACGAAAATTGTGATCGGGCGAAGGCAACGAAAGTTGAGAGGGAGATATGAGTTGCGTATATTACTGTAGGGGCAAGAGGGCACACATTTTTTTTCTCTCTTTCTCTCATAGCCAAGATGTTTTACTTCAGATGTGTGGATACATAATGTAGTAACAGGTAACCAATCTTATTACGACTGCACGGATGGCGTAGTGGTTTAAGTGGTAGCCACGCCGCTTCCTACTACGTCAAGTGTTGTGGGTTCAAACCCCACATGGGACGAAACTTTGTGTGATCCACAAATTGTTGTTCTGAGTCTGGGTGTTCTTTGTGTCCGTTTCATGTATGTTTCTAAAGTCCCCCGCGACACGAACGAAGAACGCCGTCTAACGAATACATACCGAACTACGGAGTAACTAATGAATCGAAGGAAGCGAAATTAAGTATTCTCTCGCCGATTAGCATACATATATATAACTTCCCAACCGTTGGGCCGCGACCCGCCAGTCATGATAACCTCGCCTGGTCGGAGGATCCTCCCTTTGTGTTGGAGGGACATGACACCCGTTCCTCATCATAAGGTACCGGACTGACCCGCCCTAATATTAAACCTTTTCAATTCTCTCCAGTTCAAGTCATATGAAGTCAAAATGATAATTCTTGCAATTACATCAAACGTCATGGGAAGTGATAACATCAATCGTCGAATGATCACACCCATCCTGAAATACCTTCCTTTGCTTACGTATAAAGTGAATTTCTCGCTCCATTCAGGGAGTTTTCCTTCACTGTGGTGTAACGCGTTTGTTATATCTCTTCCAAAGGCTCCTAATCCTACCCTTCTAAACCACGTACGTCCAATTTCCATTCTGCCCTTCTTATTAAAAGCGCTAGAGGCATGTGTATATCAAAAGTTATCACAGTTTGTATATCGGAAGCGTTTACTAAGTGCTTTTCAATCAGGCTTCAGGCCTGATTACAGCACAACTTCAGCTCTCTTAAAAGAGACTAGTGACATCCGGGCAGGAATTGAGGACTCTATAGACACTGTGTTGGTTTCAGTTGATATCTCGAATGCATTTGGCCAACCCGTCTGGCCAGCGTGGTATAGTAGGCCAAAACCTCCTTTCTAAGGAGAGGCCTATGTCCAGCAGTGGACTGTTAAAGGCTGTTGATGATTATCCCTTTTTGTATCCGCATTTATTCGCTTATCTTTTCGTGAAAATGTATTTCTTAGTTAAGTCTTGTTATTGTTATTGAAAGTTTTTATTCAAGTTTAGTGCACCTAATCACTCATCTCTACACCACCCCAAGGTAGACTGGCAGAGAATGCTTCCGGCATTAAGTCCACCTTGGTACATTTTTTTTGTGAAACTTCATTAACAGATGAAAGAGCTGGCAATTATCAGGCACTGCTACATTTTCAGTTAGAACTACCTACTACTTTGTGAAGAACTCTCCGTTTATCGGTTAGTGACGTAACCAAATGCGAAGCCAGTGATTTAGAGACGAACTTTGTCAATAGAATATTATTTTTGAAGTAAAAAATTCTTTAGCCGCGCTAAGTGATTTTTGTTTTGCGAAAAACTTACGGGTTCGTGTCACTGATGACTTCGAAGTATTGCGCCAGACCTAGCGACGCGTAGTTCCATTGTTTTGAGTTTTCACTTCTGTCGGCAGTCCTTATGACTGCCTCTGATTTTTCGTTAAATAAAGCCCTAATTATAAAATTCAGTTCTAGTGAAAAATTATAAGTACAACTAAACGGTTTATGGACTTCATATATGTACCTATAGCAAAACTTCATAATGTTTAGATAGACGTGGTAAATGTTATAGCCCCTTCATAATGTTTGTAGTATGTACACTTACCTCATCGGTGAACTTATGTGTAGCATCTATATTTTCCTTCTGTGATGAAGCGTGTCTAGTCAAATTGAACAACACGTCAGGTTGTAACCAAGCCTTGAACAACCGCATGTTTATAATAGACATAACAGCTTTCCGCGCACGCAAATACGGCGTGTCCGGGTTGCTCTGCACATGCATCTTTTCACCCATTGATGTTTCTGGAAGTAAGACAACATTATTAAAAATAATACTTGTTTAAATTACGCTAAGTTGCCCCACGCGGTGCTAAAACCAATTAACTATAGTCATGACAGTATAAAGACGTATCCGGGACTAAAACTAGTGTATGTAGATATTTCCACTGAAATAAATATATTTGTACAAATCATTGCAACTAACAAACTTACGATATTAATCTCTGTTGTGTTTTCTAACCGGTTTCTTTCTACCAGGTAGGACCTACCTATCCTACCAGGTTGGACCCTAACAGGTCCTGTTAAGACTTTAGACCAATAGAAAAGACAAATCTAAGACCACAAAGACAGGTCCAAGTATGATAACTATATTACCTAAGAGATTGTCTCACCTTGAGATTGATTTTATTAAAAGAAACGAAACGAAGAAGTAAAGATTTTATAAAATTGTGAGTATTTAGTAAATTTAGTGAAATTCTATGACTGCAGATAAAGTGACTGGTCTTTACAGAAACGGCCCAGTCAGGTCCATGTCGCTAACACATAAATTAATAAAGCACCTTCTTGTTAATGTGAGTATTATTATGTTACACTACTTCATTAGTATTACTTCACTAGAATAGTTTTTTTTGTCACCGCTCGGGAAGTATTTTTTCAGGCATGTTGGTTCACAAGCCTAATGAGACGTACGTTATTTACGTACGTTTATTACTATCAGGTATTCATTATTATCAACAGCCTGTAATAGTCCTGGACGTAGGCCTCTCCTTAGAAAGGAGGTTTTGGTCTGCTATACCACGCTGGCCAGATGGGTTGGTATAGGGTTTGTTTCAAGTTTTCCTTCTCTTCGCAGTGCTGTTTTCCTGCTAAGTTTGCTCCCTTAGTCGGCTCTTACGACATCCACAGAATAATTAGGGGTGGTAATACTCCGTATTCTTAATCCATCACCACACGGACCAACCATCAGGACCTTAATATATTCTTACCAAATACGATATCCAGCATACAAGAAGTAACATATTCATAGACATTAAACTGCTTCTTTCCAACTCTATCTTGAAGACGCTTCACTAGGATATCGCCCTGTTTACCGAAAATTTCAATGTAGTCCTCAATTACACGATTATTGAATACTGGCAGAAGAAGACGTCTGTGAGATTTCCATAGATGAACTAATAAACAAAAAATAACAGTTACTATTTCTTCTTTCTTTTTTTTAGTTAAATGTGTTTGGGTAGCTGCCGATAACGATTTTTAGGTGTCTAGAGTAGCCCAGAATTGAAAGTGTAACCGGCATTTCATCATAGTAAATCGGTTTAAAGAACTTTATTTCTCATTATAGCAATTATCACTTACGTGAGAAAAATATTAAACAAATAACATTAATATTATCTCAATGCGCGATGGTGCCTTGTTATAAACAGGTAGTGAAATTCTTCATGTAACTGGATTCTTTAACTTGTTAATTATGATTGGTTTCGACCGATGTGGGTACGAGAAACAGACGAAAAAAATGTGAGAAAACCCTATTCATAGGTTTAGTACTGGCAAATTTTATTCATTTCGTGGCAGTCAATCGTAGGAGAGCCATGATAAGGCACACTATATGCTGGCTCGATCGGCGTGATACCACGGCCTCCCAGAAAATTTTGTTTTCGTTGCCTTTCACCACGAGATTGAGGTTACCGGAGGCCCGAACCCCTGCTCCCCCTTGAAGGGGGACGTACTTATGTCTCCTGAGTTGCAGGTAGATATGTGAACTATGAGGTGACATGGCTACTCGTTGTCCCCTTTGCCAAAAAAAGAAATTGACTTTAATCTACTCGATAGTCAATTTATTCCTAACCCTAATGACTTGTTAGGTGTTAGTTCTGGTATTTAAAATTTAAAGTCGAACATAACGAATAGTACTAAACAAAAGAAAAAACAAAATGTGTTATTTACCTGGCGCTACAAACAATCCATTTCCCAGCCAAGCTCTTAGAAATTTATAACTAGAATCTTTTTCCAAGCACGATTCTAAAACCAACTGAACATCGTCGAGGTTGAAGGTCACTATGAAATTAGAAATTAACATTATTTATTTTTCTGTACTTACCTATCTATAAAATATAGTTATAGGTAGATACTTATTTCACTTTAAGGCACGCAAGTCGACAGAACAAACATCCCAATTTTAAGGCAGGTAAAACGTGGTTCCCACTCACGACGGGGTCATCTACAAGCCTTAGATGGCCCGGGGTCGTCGAGGTTCCAGGGATTTCCTTCCTAGGGTACACCTGGTTCTCCGGCTGCTGATACCCGAGACGGCGTGCGGTTTTTGGCCAGTTTACGTCTGACATAACCACCAGTGGGTGGTATCCGAAGGGATTTATGCACAGACAAAAAAAAGGTAAAACCGCTTAGAACTATTTGTAAGTACTTAATATAAGGTAGTGGTGGGCTATCGAGTATATAATATGTATCTAATACTTAGTTCAAAACCTTACCTACGTAGAGAGATGTCCCAATCCAAACTTTACATATACTACCAGTATCGTCTATTCTCTCAGCCAACGAACGAATATTATTTAACAACTCTGAAAATAAGACAATTATAAGCTTAGACAATAAAGATTGGCACTTAATGAGACGAAAAAATTTAAAATTCGGAAAGATGTATTCTTGACACTTGTGTGTTCTAGCATCACCTATTATGGGCCTCAGATATGATTGCATTGATAATGGATAGGGCATAGTTATGCGTGGTGACAATTTGAGGAGGACTTGAAATCACCTGGTCCGGGTCATCCCCAGAGTAGGACGCCTGAGGCCTGTCGTCGGGGTGGTTTTTGGAACACCATATACTCCGGGATCAGGCTCAGGATTTTTCCACCCCATTAACAAAAACAAACATATGATTCATATCCATATGCTATAAATCAAACTATTTTTACCATTTCATTGTCAACAATCTTTGTCGATAAAAGTCAGAAGGTTATTTCAAACTAAATTAAATAATCCTATTATTTGCCCAATTTTGCAAACACATCAACGACGTAATAAAGCATTTAAATTTCAACATCATTTAAGACGTGCCTAAATGATTTTTGGTTTGTTTTGCTCAGTATGAAGTCCTTCGCATCTGCTGCAAAAGACCTAGCTTGATAGATATCAAACAACTATAATCGAGAGCAAAGAATACGGGTCACAAAAATATACCTGAAAATCTCGAAAACTAATAACGTTAGGTAAGTAAAATAAATTTGGTTTTATAGACAAATACTCGTATACAGTTCTTAAATGAAAGTAATAAAAATGTCGAAGTAAAGGAATTGAACTGTTATAAATGAATCTATGAACATACTGCAAATTGACAAGTTCAGTCAAGTTCTGTTATTGACTTTTGGCTTTTTGCTTTTAATTGTGCTGCAAAACCTTACTTCTGACCAATGTTTTTATAGTTTCATGATTGGTCAATAGGAAGTATCTTAAAATTTTTGATTTATCTGTGAATTACAATTGTGTCCTAATCTGAATCTATGATTATACTCGTAATAAGCTGCAGGAGCCCTGGTACCTGGTACTATACACGGGTTCACTCTTGCCTTGGGAAGCAGACATCCTAAAATAAAACTGCCAACCTGTATTTCATTGTATTGTGTTCATTAAATTGTATTTTTTTTATTTGAATTCAGTTACAGATTTAAATTTGAGTAATTAAAAACACAATAGAAAAAAAAAGTATTTATAAGTTCTGTTATCGCAGAGTACAAAGATCAAGGTCAGCTAGATGTGGTATGCGTAAAGGATCGGGGGCGGCGCGGGCGTCGACTTCGAGTCGGAACGAAGTTCCTTTCGCGAATAAACGGCGTGAGGGGTCTATGGACCTGACGCCGTTTATTTCTACAAATATGTTTTGCATGACGTCCGCTTAGGCTTAGTATGCACGGTTAGTCCTTTCCTTTTTTTGGATTTCATTGTATGTTGACCGCAATATCTATCTAGATCTTACTTTTTTATAATTTTGACTCATTGAGGAACACAAATCGACATGCTTTTTTAAATAATCCGTACTAACTAATCCCAATTTCTCGTGTCCATATTCAAATTAAGATTTAATTACACACACACAGCACACTAGATACAACCCATAATTGTTTTGTGTTTTCCTCAATTGATTGTAAATAAATAGTAGTGTGATTAGTGCTCAAAGGTTAAACAAAAGAGAACACTCAAAAAAGGTGAACCACTCATATTAAAGGCAAGCTTGTTCCCGACCGAGCGCAGTACTGAAACAATTCGATTCATTCAATTAACTAAGTGATTCCTCTTTTCCCTGGTGCCCAGCTATGAGAAGAGCACGTAATAAAGAAAAGTATTAGTCACTGTACACTAACTATCCAGAAATCACACACCACAACTGTTAAAAGAGGAAGTTAGTTAATATTTAAATATACTTACTCTCCGGTCCACCTATGAACCAATGCGTATGTCCAATAATTGGTAATTCACCTGTAGAATGTAGGCCTTCAGAAAACTTATAAAGTAATTTACGAGAACGTCTATACTTTAAATAATACACTACTAAAATAAAGAGTATTAATGTAAGTACAAACATTTTCAATTATTTTTTGTTATATTGTAGACCTGAACGAGAACTAATCTTCCTAAAGTTCACAGTAACACTGGGTGTCAATGTAAATAGGTACAAGGTTTTACACTATTCTTAGCAAAAGCCTCGTAAGATTATACAGGTAGTATATATAATAAACACAATTACGTAATGATTCTTGTGTGGATGTACAGCCAAATAGCTCATAGGTAGAATGTTTCTTATTTATTTATAGTATTTTATTATTGAATAAAAATTATAGTTCATCATCATCATCAACAGCCTTAAAACGTCCACTGCTCCAACAGTGTCCACCCAGGCCTCTTCTAAGAAAGGAGGTTTTGGCCTACTATACCAGGCTTGCCAGTCGGGTTGGTTTAGGGTTTGTGTCAAGTTTACCTTCCTGAGCCGGCTCCTAGAACACCCACGGATTTAATAGAGGTGGTAATACCCCGTATTCCTAATCCACCACCGTACAGATATTCAAAGAAATATCGTTAGTAACAACTAAATATTCACAAAATGAAATAAGATATTTGCAAACAATTGTAGATATAATTCAAATTGTAACAAAAAACCCCTATAACAAATCTGTCCGTCAGAAATTATAATTGTACGCTCGTTAAGCATTTTAGATTGGATTAGAAAATCACTTTCAATAATTAGTGTAAACCTTTATAGTATTAAATTTAAAGCAATAACTACCAATTACTGTTTTGGTGACCATAAGAATAATAATATCACAATATACTATTTTATATTATCATTTAAGTGGTTTTTTTAGTATTTTTAGTGTAAATTCTTTAATCCTAAATCAATCCTTAAAACAAGCCAAGTATCATTTCTTTTAAAAGTAGTGAGATTTTAAATTATTATTTTATTTAATAACTAAGAACAAAGATAGTTACTATAAGATGTTGTTAGTTACTAAATATTAAGTAATAAATACTCGTACATATCACAACTTTTTGTTTAAACGTTGTTAATGTGATCTCATTTCTTTTTGTAAGTCGTGAATATTCAAGGAAATATCGTTAGTCAATCACACTGTATTTACCTATTTTCACTATATACCTATCTAAAATATATTAATTATATTCTCTATCTATCTCTTAGGGATTTGAGTGATTAAATACCAAAACGAAGATACTTTGAATTACAACAGTTTTCAAACTACAGGTTTAAATGATAATTAATTTGGGAATATACCTAATTAAATTATGCACTTTTAGGTACTGTACTGTACTCCTAACTTCATCAACAACGCAATTATAGGGATATAAAATGTTCTGAATGGCTTCGAGAAAATCTTTATGTGACGTTACCTTGGTTTTCTTAATACAACTTCAGTATTAAGTAATATTATGCTGTTATTTGCATTGTGGCAGACAAAGGCTTAGGTTTTAGAACCTTACCTAAGAACGATAAAGTATGTCTTCGTTATGGCAAATAGTTAAGCGTGTAAAAGCTAAAACACATAATTCCATTTTTCTTCTGAAGTATTTAACGAGTTTTACGAAAAATTCTTGCTTATTTATTAATGCCGAGTACTAATAAGCCACACATTATAAAACCCGATTAGAACGACGAACGCAGGTTAGGTTAAAGGTGCCGTGTGAGGACACCAGTCGTAGTTAATTGTAAAAGTTGCTGTGATATTATAATTTCACAACCGTAAGTACATCATCGTCATAATTATTACGTATTCATTAATTTATTATAGAAATCACCAATCAGAATTTCTCTTCATACAGACATCTTGACTTACTTGATGGACTTTACAGTCTTTTAGATAAAACTTTTGGTGTGTCTAATGAACCTTCATTTTGTAGGAAAATTAAAAGAACAGACAATAGATAAAGATTACTTAATAAAATAAGATTTAATAAAACAAATGTGACGCAGCCTGTAAACATAGTTTGTTAATGTAATTAACACGTTGACGGACAGTCCGGGCAAATATAAAAAATTACTTAATAAAATAAGACCTAATAAAGCAAATGTGACGTAACCTGTAAATATAGTTTGTTGATGTAATTACAACGTTCACGGACAGTCCGGAGTTTTCGATACGGCACTATGCATGATGACGTTCAAGAACAGAATATTAAAAATTCGTTTCAATGTACCTTGTGTCACAAAACTTTAATGTCACATAGACTTTACTTTTTATAAATTTCAAAAAAATCATGTGCGGTGACACTACACATCTTTATCTTAGTGCGACTTTGTCACGGTAATCGTCAGTCATCGGCGCAGGAGTGTCAAGACGCAACATTTGCATACAAATAAACACCGTACTTAACTATTTAAATTATATAATTATTTTACTGTTACATGGTTGTAAATTAATTAAATTATAAATGTATTCCATCAAAATTGTATTTCACGAGTTATTTTGTTTGGTTTAAATGTAAAACGTATGTAAACGATGACGTGATATAACGTTTCTGGCATATTGTATTTTAAACAACTAATATCCTGCATAGCTATTCAAACCGAGACTGTCCGTAAACGTCTTAAAATAATTTTAAAATCTTAGTATTTTTCCAAGCTTCTATTCTTTTAATTTAAAATTATTATTTAAATAGTTACTAGAACAAATATTAAGTAATTTAATTTTATGACACATTAAAACTATCAAACGATCTAAGTAATCCCAAATCTAACCTTGATTAGAAAACTCTGCTTTCATGTTTTTTTTTTTCGAAGTGTATCTGAGGTAATATTAGGTTAGAAAGTATTTTTTTTTCAGATTCCCTGTTTGTTTTTAGGAATTTATAATGATTTTGCTGATAGGAGTTTTATTATTAACATGTATATACTGGATCCGTTGGATGGTAAAATTACGGAATGTGGACAAATTAACAGCAAGCTTGCCGATGCCAACGTCAAAACCCCTTATTGGACACAGTGCTCTCTTTCTGGGCAATAACCAACGTATGTATGGTAACAAATAAAGAACCAAGTCTATTACTATTAAGAAGAACACTTGCTGGTTATTTTGAATTACTAATTTTCGGTCAGTCGATTGGACGTGTCCTTTATTTTTCCATCTTTCTGAAAAAGAAATAATGTATAAAAGTCGAATATACGTTTAAATAATCTTGTTGCGCATTTCAGAACAGTTTAACTTTGGTGATGACGTAGATATTTTATCTCTAAATTTATTTTTCTTTTTAGGGTTCCGTACCTCATAAGGAAAAAACGGAACCCTTATGAGATCAATTTGTTGTTAGTCTGCCTGTCCGTCTGTTAAGACTCTTAATCTCTAGATCGCGTAGAGGTATCGAGTTGAAATTAAAACCATATAGGTATAAGCATTTAGGTCTATAGTCCTTGAAGCTGTAAGAACAACTTCTAAGACAACGTTAAAGAAAAGATACGGCCGCTTATGCCGCAAAAAACGTTATTTCGACACTCTTTAGGCAGTCCGAATTTATAAGGTACTTACTGTTGACCTAGAACTATGAAATTTGGCAGCTAATATCGTCTTACACTACAAGTGCAGGAAAAAATCTGGAAACTATACATTCGTAATTCAATCATAAAAAATATAGTCTTTATTCAAATCATGTTACACGCAATCAATTTTGCTAGTATGTAGTAGGTATACTAACATCAGAAAAATCTATTTTTTTAGTCATCTATAAAGCCGTTTTCATGCAAAATTAGAGAAATTTGGACAATAAATATGCGTGCGTAAATAGTAAAGTAACTAAAATAAATGAAATATTTTTGAACTTTTTCAGGCAGAATTTACACCAGTTGCTCAACATTATAAATAGGTTTTATTTTGTAATTATGTTGCAGAAATATACAAAAATCTATGGACCATAGCAGAATTAGCTTTAAAACATAAAAATTCAGCTAAAGTTTGGCTCGGGCCTAAATTGTATGTAGGTAAGTTACAAGTTTCATATACTTGACGCTTGAGGCCCTTGCAAGAAGGCCACCATTTATATGGAGTAATCACAATCGCTGTTACGGCGACATTACCCCACGATGCGGTCTAAAACCGTTATTTAAAATTTCAATAATAATCTAAAAAAATATTATTTAAATATTAGGTCTTTCTATGTTTCAATTTGTATTTTCTAGCTATCGCTGATCCGGCAGATGCTCAAGTGGTGTTAGAAAATTGCCTTGATAAAGATATGGTTTACCGTTTCCTTCGTCCTTGGCTTGGTCACGGCCTTTTTGTAGCACCAGGTAAATATTTATCTCCAGCAATATGTAATATTTAATGCGGAGGATTGTTAGTTTAGCAAACTTTAATTCTTCGTAAATGTTAGAAATATTCTGACTTCATGTAAACAAAAGTATAGGCACGCATGTAGCGTAAGTACACAGAATAATAAGTAGGTAGAGTGCAAACGTCTTGGTAAATGTATACTCAGTGATATGTAAGAACACGTGAATTTTGTTATTTGTTTGTTGAATATTGTCCGACATACGGTGTTAGAAAATTGTTTTTTTTTCTTAAATTTGGGTAATTCAATTTGTTATGATCTTTCCGGCTACGGTCAGTCTGAGTTAAAATATAACCTGCCTGCTAGGAGCTACACTCCTCAATACATTTTTAGTAGCCTTAAAGTATGTATGTAATGATTTGGTACATCTTGAGTTTAGGTGTTCTATCTGTTTTTATCAGATGCAACTTGTTGAATATGTAAATGAGTTGCTTAATATCTTTATACACTACTAGACTACCAGCGCTGAGTACCTCAGGCCATCTACGGCATATAGATGACCCCTCCTGTGTGGGAACCTAGATGTTCACTTCCTGTCCCCGAAGGCCGTGCGCGCTCCGTAGCGCGTCGCGCCAACACCCACCCCGGTCTGCTTCTGCTAGAGTGACAGATGGCCTCACCTGTTACCCTAAGGCGTGCACTTATGGAGGACGGAAGTCTTTATGCGACCTCCGGTGCCTGAGCCATCTGCGGTACCTGGCCCGTTCTCGGGCCTGGCGGGTCGGGCGAATTCTGAACCTCTCCCGGTCCCGCTCCGCCATCTCCTTCGCATAACCTGCTCGCAGAAGGAGACGGCTGAGTTCCACGCACTTTCGCTCCGTACCATGGCGGCAAACATGTTACCAAGCTAGAGAATTCCCAATCCAAAGGCCGCCACAAGGCTATGCCTTTGCTCCACCCACGCCGGGCATTCTGTCAGCGTGTCCGGTCCGGACGGTCCGGGCATCGCAGTGGTGTCACTCAGGCGTTGACTCCTTGCGGATCAAATACAGGTTATTTCCGAAGCATCCTTTCCCGGTGATCACCTGCGTCAGCCGGTATGGGAGGTTACCGTGATGCCTCTCGAACTAATTTTCCATAACGGGTGTTACCGCCGCGATAACGGCGTGCCCGCGCTTGTTCTGTGCCTGGGTGTAATTTATCTATAATATGTACGTATTTAGATATAATATATCGGTATGTATATCAGCAGCCTGGTTAATAAAGTACAGGTTCTGCTTAGTTTGGGATCCGACGGCCCCGTGTGTGATGCGTAAGGTTATTATTTCTATTATTAACTAAAGAAACCTAGAGCTCCGACTCCATCATTGGAATCGCCAGTGAATTGATAACCTTCTCTTGTCCAAGATGCATTATTCCTTAACATCAATTTAATGCAGTGCAATGTAAAATAATATGGTTAAATTTTTACTTAATCTCTACAACACGAAATAAGTAAGAACAGTAGTTTACGTAACCTTGTACATACATAACCTTGTACAAAAAAAAACTTTAAACACCATTAGAACCTGCTCCTTTTAGCCTAAAATCAAAGGCCCTGCATGATATACTTGTGAAACTAATTAAACTAAACCTCAAAACCTAAAAAATGGTAATCAATTTGCCTTTTTTTTATTTGTATTTTATTAATAAGTTGTAACTTTACAGTTAATTTATGGAAGTCTCACAGACGAGTGCTGTTGCCAGTTTTTCAGAATAAAGTAGTTAAGGAGTACTTGGAAGTAATAAATGAACAAGTCAATGTGCTCCTGCAACGCCTTAATGAACAGACTGACAAAAAAGAGTTTGACATTTTGAAATATGTGACTGCTTGTACTTTGGACATTGTGTTTCGTGAGTTTCATCAAATATTTTTAACATAGACAACGCATTACAAACTAACGCATTATATCATTTCTCTTTTCATACCGTCCGTGTGGTGACGGATTAAGAATACGGAATGTCACCACCCCTGTTTATCCCGTGGGTGTCGTAAGAGACGACTAAGGGCGCAAACTGCGCAGGCCTACAGCACTGCAAAGAGAAGGAAAACTTGAAACAAACCCTATACCAACAAGTCTGGCCAGCGTGGTATAGTAGGCCAAAACCTCCTTTCTAAGGAGAGGCCTTTGTCCAGCAGTGGACTATTAAAGGCTGTTGATGATGATGATGCTGATATTTTCATACCAACTCGAGAACATTTATGTTTCATAAATGTACGTGGCAGAAAATTTTAAGATAAATGTAGGAAAATCTTTACTCTTGACCATAAACTAACGCAAGACACAAGGCCGTGGTTGTTGCAATTTTGAGAGATGTCTATGTCATACAGCTGATTGTTGAAATGATATTAACTAATGATGACATTCTGCATTTGAACCTAGGTTTGTCTTTCAGACACTACACTAAACTAATAATATTTGTATCCCTGTGTCAGAGACCGCAATGGGCGAACGCATGGACGTACAAAATTCTCCCGATACCCCATATCTTCGTGCTCGTCACACCGTTATGACCATCCTGAACATGCGTCTCTTTAAAGTTTGGCTGCAACCTGATTGGATTTTTAACCTCACTCGCTACGCTAAACTTCAGAAGGACAATATCGATTTAACACACAAGTTTACAGATGAGGTAATTGCTAACTTCAATTTTTTACCTTGACCGATTATTAATTTTAGTCATATTAACTATACTCATTTTAATGTGAGTCCTGGTAACTTGATTAAGTAAATAATTAAAATCATTAATAGTAATGTATTTGTTGTAGTTTTAGTTAAAGTTGGCTAAAGTATCTCAAAATAAATTCTGCCCAAAAATCTTTTGCCGCCTTAAACAGGTCTCTGGCATGCCAGAAGAACAATAAAAAAAAAGCTATCCACCCCATATTATACACCATTACCTAGAAAAAGATATAGAAGTTAAATATACGAGTAAAGCAACTTGGTTATAATGACTTGCAGATCGTCAGAAAGAGAAGGCAGGAATATCAAAATAATCTTACGAAAAAACACCAAGGTAAGTAGTTTTATTTACAATGTCTCTATGTATGTATGTATGTAACGGAGTCTTCGAACGTGATTTTGACCCACTTCAAAACGTAGAATTAAATTATAACTTTTCACACTTATCAAGGACCAATGACAATACAATAATTTAAATACATAGTTTGTCCCACTATCCTGATCAGGACCTTCAGGATTAACTGCTTTCTACAGCTTTTTTTTAGGCGTGTGCTGAAGCTTATGTCATAAACTTACTTGTTACTTTTTTAGTCTTAATCATCATTATTGACAAAAAAAAAAGGAAAAATAAATTAAAGTTTGAAAAACACCCATTTGTAGCTAGGCGCACAAAAAAGTAGAAAATAATGTTCTATAATTTCCAAAAGAAAAATCATTTTAACGTAAAAAAGTGTGGGTGCTTTTCAAGGTATCAAATACATAATTTGGCGACTCCCTCACCCAAAGAAACAGAAACATACTACAGCGCTATCTACAGACTAACTACTAAAGAAGAATTACAAATCCTGTATCGCTATATGTAGAATTCTCTCGCGGGATACGCATATATACAACTTCCCAACATCAACCGTTGGGCCGTGGCCCGCCAGGCATGATCACCTTGCATGGTCGGAGGATCCTCCCTTTGTGTTGGAGGCACATGACACCCGTTCCTCCACACATAATATAATAACTTGAAATATAATAAAATAATATATAACTCACACACGGCCGTCCGATCCCAGATGGTATGGTAACCAGACTGCTGATAAACATACTTATATATTTTTAAATACGTCCATATCATTGATAATTACACCCAAACACAGAACAAATGACCGTGCTCATTACACAATTTTTGTCCTGGGTGGGAATCAAACCCACGACCTCCGGCTTAGCAGTCAGGGTCACTAAACACTAGACCAACAGGCCCAACTTATATGAATATTTAGTCAGTAAATTATTTTTACAAAAAGTGAGATCTAGCACCCCTCGTTTTTTGTGTTGTTATTTTTACTTGTTTTTTTAATTCTTTTTTTCATACCTGACTACATATTTAAAAATTGTTGCAACATAAAAAAAAATATCTAAAATTACATCGAAGTTTTATTATAATTATTTTAGAAACGTGCAGTATTTACATCCACCTCTACAAATACCCCATTTATAGGAATTACATAATATTGAAACATGTATGTCTCGATCATATTAGAACACACGTTACTACACTACGTAGCAAAACCAGGTAAGTAGATCCTTTTGCATGGACAAAGATGATCCTTAAACATTGTTGGTAAACCTAACTTCAGAAGCGGTAAAGAACCTCTAAGGAGAGGTTTTGCTCACTTTTCACTATTGCACCACTTTCCTCATGAAGGAAATTCGCCCTCACACTTAAAGTGTCACGTACTTTACGGTTTGATAGAACGCCAAAAATAGTAGAATTATCTTCCACGGTTTTCCAGGAAAAAAGAAAGAAAGTAAACTAGTTTGCCAAATTTTCCTTTACCTTACGTTTGGCCGTAAGATTTTTTTTGGAACTTATCACATCCGGAATACTTCCAAAATGACTGCTCAAGTATACGGAGTGTTATGATTTTGTTACAGATAACAAGTTCCATGCGGTTTTAGATCTTTTGTTTAAACAAGAGATAGACTTCACAGATGAACAACTTCGGGAGCATATAGATTCTATTACCATTGCTGGTAATGACACCACCGCCCTTGTGATTGCCTACACCCTCGTATTGCTCGGTATACACCAGGATGCACAAGAGAAAGTGTCGGAGGAGTGAGTACAAGACAATTTATTTCTAACAAAATTTTCCCTTCATAAACAAGCATACAGTTCATAAGGCTGACCTGGAAATTATTAATATATCTTATTCATTCACTTGGTGGAGTAGTTTAAGAGAAGGTTTACAATTGAATAGACCAGACAATACATTCACTCCGATTAATATTTTAATTACGTTCAGCAGTTTTATCTGTCACTATAATATTTGCGGCACCTATGGGGCTGCTCGCTGGGCAAAATACCACGGCTTTTCTCTCAACGCTTTCCATCGAGTGAGTAAGGTTAGAAGAGACCCAACCCTTCCCTTTACCACCATCAGGTGAACCGTCTGCTCAGTCAGCAACAGTCTTCCAACGCTGACATTAAAAAGAAGAAGTAGGTAGGCCTTCGACTCATGTTCCTTATCACAATTATATTAATTCAATACTAACTTTTGCCGTACAAGTTGTTTTCTTATAGCTCCGGAGCAATATTTTTTTCTGGATGAAAGATATCCTATGTCCGTTCCTGTATCCTTGAAAACGTAAATGCAACATTTCATGATAATCGTTTTAGTAGTTAAGGCATGTAAGAGTAATAAACAAACAATTTTTTTCATTCATAATAAGCATTAAATAATTGATTTTTTCTATTGCTTACAACTAAATATTACACGTCTGCACTGAAATCATATTTTTACACAAAGGAAATTGTATAGATAACGAGGAATTTTTCTTTTTCTCTTTAAAATACCGAACGCAGGGACAAGAACGCACTTGTAATTCTTGAGTTGCAAGTGTCTATGAGCCGGCTATTAGTACCCGAGACGGCGTGCGGTTTTAGTCAGTTCGAGTCCGACATGCCACCGAGGGGTATCCGAGGGGATTTTCGCACGGAAAAAAAATAAGGTGTCTATGAGCGGCGGTAGTCACTTATTATCTGAGGTCCAAGTGCGAGTTTACTTCACACCAACTCGCTCTCGACAGCGAGCGCGTTTTTGCGTTGTGATTGGTGCAGGTTTCAGTCCAGGCCAATCGAGTAGATGGGAAATAAACTTTATAAATAAACACTTGGGCCTCAGGTGACCTATTTGCTCGTTTGCCGCCTATGCCATGTACCAAAACTCAACCAATAATGTTTTTTACCAATATATATTTATAATTTACTATTTAAAAACATGAAAAACTCAGATAGTTTCACTGTCGAGTTAATCGTACTTTTTATAATTTAGGCAGCGGTCTATCTTCGGAACATCAACATGCGGTGCTAATAAATGGGACCTACAAAAAATGGATTACTTAGAGAGGGTGATCAAAGAAAGTATGCGGTTGTATACAGTAGTACCAATTATTGCCAGAAATGTTGACAAGGATATATATCTACGTAAGTTAATAATAACAACTTAAATCCTCACTCTGTCTTGTACATATATCAACCCGATATCCTTTCTAGATTAACGCAGTAACTCTATCGTTTTTGCACATTCAGGGCACTTTCCATTTAATTAGGGTTCCGTACCTCAAAAGGTAAAAAAGGAACCCTTTTAAGATCACTTTCTTGTCCGTCTGTCTGTCTATCGGGCTGTCCGTCTGTCCGTGTGTCACCACCGATTTTCTCAGGAACGGGTAGACCTAGGCAAGTTGAAATTTATACCAGATACTGACATCTATAGTTCCTATTAGGTGTATAAAAATCAAGGTCCAGAGTCAACACCATAAAAAGATATGGGCAATTTTTCGGGCAAATCTACGTAAAATCTGGGTAGGTACGGAACCCTCGGCGCACGAGTTCGACTCCTGACCGGTTTTTATTCTTTAAAATTTCCTTCGAGTTCATAAAAACATATACATATACATAACGAAACCACTGAAATTGTTGCTTTTAATTAATTGTTAGAAATTTTAGCCAACTGCATTACCAATTACTCATAAAAGCTCGAATCTATATCTATTTATAATTTACTAAATAACTTTAACAGCAACATGTGGAGTCACAGTACCAGCAGGTAGTGGAGCAGTAATAGGAGCCTTCGCTTTACATCGCTCTGAATCATCTTGGGGACCAGAACCACACAAATTTGACCCAGACCGATTTCTACCTGAGAAATCTGTCAATAGACATCCTGCTGCATTCATGCCTTTTAGTTATGGTTCTAGAAATTGTATTGGTAAGTACGTAGTTTTATATATATTACAATAAAGTTAACAGTACAATACAGTTGACAGTAGAGTCAGTGAGCGAGTATTAAACTTCCTGCAATATGTACTTTATTCAGTGAATCAGGGTCCAGATTAGTAAATTTACTAAAATACGTCATTTACAAAAAAAAACCAAATTGGTAAGTTAGATCAAACCAATGGCGAAACCGCGTCCGTTCAATTAGATACTGGATAGAGCTTCTATAAAGGAACTTAACCGAACCTTCTATCTTTGATTATCCGGTACCCTGGCAAATACCATACGTCAATTTTGCTAGTTTAATGAGTGTATTACGATGCATAACGAGTAAGGAAGCGATGAGCAGATGATAATAGTCGTAATTGTGATTGTGTTTATACAGTACAAAGTACAATTTGAAATCTAATTTTCGCATTTCGATTTTGTGAATGATTTTTTAAAAGATTTGATTTATTTATTTTATTTTGAGAAAGGCTTACAGTCTAGTAACAAAATACTAGATATACTTAACATAGTTAACTTAATTTTTAATGGCAAACTTATTAACCACATTAATTAAACCACCGCAGGTAACATGACACACATGACAACACAAAGAACTTAATATACTCAAAGGTTTACGAAAAAAAAAACAGAAAGATATAGAGATAGAGATGTAGAGATCAACACAGTTTTATTACAGTGTATACATAATAACATGTATGTATATGAACATTAGCTTTTCTTGTTGCAGGCCGCAAATTTGGCATGCTCATAATGAAAAGTATAATTTCAAGTGTGGTACGAACATACAAACTGGATGCCGATGATATAGGTGACCTCAAAGTAGAAATGCTCTTATTTCCAATAAAAGGACACCAGGTTAAAATATCAAGAAGATTAAACGTGTGATTTGATTTATATATACATAATTATTATTGCTTAAAATAAGAGCGAATATTCATAGCGAAAAGATAAGCTTGACGATACTATTACAAAATAAAATTTGGGAATTGGGATTGGTATTTTTATAGTATTTAAAAAGTATTTATTTAGTAACCTCCTTTCTACGGAGAGGCCTATGTCATGCAGTGAACTGTTTTAGCCATTTACATTTATAGGCAAGACATTTTGTATTTATTGATTATACTGCAATAAAGTTTACTTATTTAATAACATCTACTTCTATGATAATAGCTTAAAAGAAAGAAGAAGAAGAAGTAAATTATTACTTTAAGTACACAACACTTTTTTTGCATTTAGTAAAATATAAATTATAGTATCAGGAGATTTTCGTTTTTCAATATCTTAATTCTCATAAGATCATTAAGATAATTTATGTATAAAATTATTCATAGATAGATACTTCACTTTTTTTTATTTATTGTCTATACTCCATTGATATGTTCGTAGACCTTTAAAGGGCTAGTAAGGATTTTTATTTATTTCCGCTTACTCTAAGTAGCTATGCCTAAAAAGATAAGATAATGTAATGTTAACACCACTGTATACCCTTGATCAGCAAATAAATATTATTGTTATTATTATAAAGTGACACCTATTCTGTGATATCCAAATTATCTGCAACAGTCATTAACACAGGCGTGGGTGCAGGGGCCCGACTGGTGAACTCCATAGCCATCCCTGGATCATGATCTACCACGTCACGAGAATCGTCAACACCACACATCAGGAACTTGGAGTATTTACTCAAGTCTAAAAAGCCAACACCACACGGTCGATCCACGAGACGTGAAATCATCATCCCACGGGCAAAACCGGAACATTCAATGACAGTTCCTACGTCGTCCTGGAAAATATATAAGTAATTAGTACGATAGTAGGTTACCTAGAATTGTGTACATCAACGCACTTGTGACTCTTAAATTAAAGGTCCATAGGCGACGGTAGGTATTAAGCACCAAAATTCAGTCAAATTCATTCCGCTGTTAGAGCGCGAAATGTTATAACTAAACATAGCTTCCCAAAATGTATCATTCATCAACAAAAACATCAATCATGCCTAGTTTAGCTCGTTTCTTTGCTTTTGTTGGTAGACAAAGTCCATAAAATACATAATACCTGGCCTCTATGGGTCTGGTTTGTAGGTTACCGTAACATTGTGTAACCATCAAGATGTTTGAATTATCTCGTAACGCACTTAATAATAAGATATTTGTACAGTGCGAGAATCAATTATAAAATCTTACTGAACTTCATCATTCATTGAGACCATAAACTCAATAATCTATTAATAATTATTTTATATTTGTTTGTTATACAGTCACAGTACATGTTTTCTGGTATTTGTATTAAACACAGTTATAAGATTTATTGTAAATTTCTTTACTGATATGTATAATCGAGTACCTACATTCTTTATTTATTTATTTATTTTATTTTATTTTTTTAGGGATAACAACAGCTGCAATTCTTAACTAGGTAGTAAACTATGATTACATGAGTAGCCAATAAAAGTTATCCACGGTAGATAAGAGTGGATGAATATGCTAACAACAATACATAATATTAAAACTGATTGGTAAACCTTGAAAAGATGGGTGAATAGATGTAAAATATGAAATATAATATATAACTGAAATAAATAACACATACTAATATATATAAATATGGGAGAAAAATTTAATTGAATAAATACATTAAAAAAATTTATATCATCTAGAAACCTATAAATCCAGCCATTCAGTGCAATGATGTTGACATTTTAGAAAGCCTATGATGATAGTAATTTAAGCGAAACTCGTTTTTTGAAATTATCCTTAGAACCGATGAATATGTCCACACTATTAAAGTGTTCATTATAAGAGTCGAGTAAACGTGATATTACACCATTTCTACCGTAATTAGTCGAGTGAAATGAAGTGCAAAATAGTGTAGTGTGTCTAGTGCGTTTCTTGGGTACATTAAACTTAATATTATTTAAAAGCATAGGACAATCGATCCGTCCTCGCAAAATGTCATAGAGTAAACCCATATCCATCAGAATACGCCTTTTATAATCAACCGATATCCTTTCTAGATTAACGCAGTGACTCTATCGTTTTTGCACATTCAGGGCACTTTCCATTTAATTAGGGTTCCGTACCTCAAAAGGTAAAAAAGGAACCCTTATAAGATCACTTTCTTGTCCGTCTGTCTGTCTATCGGTCTGTCCGTCTGTCCGGGTGACACCACCGATTTTCTCAGGAACGGGTAGACCTAGCAAGTTGAAATTTATACCAGATACTGAGATCTATAGTTCCTATTAGGTGTATAAAAATCAAGGCCCGGAGTCAACACCATAAAAAGATATGGGCAATTTTTCGGGCAAATCTACGTAAAATTTACGTAGGTACGGAACCCTCGGCGCACGAGTTCGACTCCTGACCGGTTTTTATTCTTTAAAATTTCCTTCGACTTCATAAAAACATATACATATACATAACGAAACCACTGAAATTGTTGCTTTTAATTAATTGTTAGAAATTTTAGCCAACTGCATTACCAATTACTCATAAAAGCTCGAATCTATATCTATTTATAATTTACTAAATAACTTTAACAGCAACATGTGGAGTCACAGTACCTGCAGGTAGTGGAGCAGTAATAGGAGCCTTCGCTTTACATCGCTCTGAATCATCTTGGGGACCAGAACCACACAAATTTGACCCAGACCGATTTCTACCTGAGAAATCTGTCAATAGACATCCTGCTGCATTCATGCCTTTTAGTTATGGTTCTAGAAATTGTATTGGTAAGTATGTAGTTTTATATATATTACAATAAAGTTAACAGTACAATACAGTTGACAGTAGAGTCAGTGAGCGAGTATTAAACTTCCTGCAATATGTACTTTATTCAGTGAATCAGGGTCCAGATTAGTAAATTTACTAAAATACGTCATTTGCAAAAAAATCTAAATTGGTAAGTTAGATCAAACCAATGGCGAAACCGCGTCCGTTCAATTAGCTACTGGATAGAGCTTCTATAAAGGAACTTAACCGAAGCAGACTAATCTAGTAGAACCAAACCTTCTATCGTCGATTATCCGGTACCCTGGCAAACACCATACGTCAATTTTGCTAGTTTAATGAGTGTGTTACGATGCATAACGAGTAAGGAAGCGATGAGCAGATGATAGTAGTCGTAGTTGTGATTGTGTTTATAAAGCAATTTGAAATCTAATTTTCATGAATTAAACACGCATTTCTCATTTCGATTTTGTGAATGATTTTTTGAATTATTAATTTATTTTATTTTGAGAAAGGCTTACAGTCTAGTAACAAAATACTAGATATACTTAACATAGTTAACTTAATTTTTAATGGCAAACCACCGCAGGTAACATGCCCGCAAAGAACTTAATATACTCAAAGGTTTACAAAAAAAAACAGAAAGAAGAAATAATAAGGTTTACATTATTTATAGAGATCAACACAGTTTTATTACAGTGTATACATAATAATATGTATGTATATGTATATTATCTTTTTTTGTTGCAGGCCGCAAATTTGGCATGCTCATAATGAAAAGTATAATATCAAGTGTGGTACGAACATACAAACTGGATGCCGATGATATAGGTGACCTCAAAGTAGAAATGCTCTTATTTCCAATAAAAGGACACCAGGTTAAAATATCAAGAAGATTGAACGTGTGATTTGATTTATATATACATAATTATTATTGCTTAAAATAAGAGCTTGCTTAAAATATTCATAGCAAAAAGATAAGCTTGATTACAAAATAAAAATTTGGGAATTGGGATTGGTATTTTTATAGTATTTAAAAAGTATTTATTTAGTAACCTCCTTTCTAAGGAGAGGCCTATGTCCAGCAGTGAACTGTTTTAGCCATTTACATTTATAGGCAAGACATTTTGTTTTTATTGATTATACTGCAATAAAGTTTACTTATTTAATAACATCTACTTCTATGATAATAGCTTAAAAGAAATAAGTAAATTATTACTTTAAGTACACAACACTTTTTTTGCATTTAGTAAAATATAAATTATATTATCATGAGATTTTCGTTTTTCAATATCTTAATTCTCATAAGATCATTAAGATAATTTATGTATAAAATTATTCATAGATAGATACTTCACTTTTTTTTATTTATTGTCTATACTCCATTGATATGTTCGTAGACCTTTAAAGGGCTAGTAAGGATTTTTATTTATTTCCGCTTACGCTAAGTAGCTATGCCTAAAAAGATAAGATAATGTAATGTTAACCCCACTGTATACCCTTGATCAGCATATAAATATTATTATTATTATTATAAAGTGACACCTATTCTGTGATATCCAAATTATCTGCAACAGTCATTAACACAGGCGTGGGTGCAGGGGCCCGACTGGTGAACTCCATAGCCATCCCTGGATCATGATCTACCACGTCACGAGAATCGTCAACACCACACATCAGGAACTTGGAGTATTTACTCAAGTCTAAAAAGCCAACACCACACGGTCGATCCACGAGACGTGAAATCATCATCCCACGGGCAAAACCGGAACATTCAATGACAGTTCCTACGTCGTCCTGGAAAATATATAAGTAATTAGTACGATAGTAGGTTACCTAGAATTGTGTACATCAACGCACTTGTGACTCTTAAATTAAAGGTCCATAGGCGACGGTAGGTATTTAGCCCCAAAATATAGTCAAATTCATTCCGCTGTTAGAGCGCGAAATGTTATAGCTAAACATATCTTCCCAAAATGTATCATTCATCAACAAAAACATCAATCATGCCTAGTTTAGCTCGTTTCTTTGCTCTTGTCGGTAGACAAAGTCCATAAAATACATAATACCTGGCCTCTATGGGTCTGGTTTGTAGGTTACCGTAACATTGTGTAACCATCAAGATGTTTTAATTATCTCGTAACGCACTTAATAATAAGATATTTGTACAGTGCGAGAATCAATTATAAAATCTTACTAAACTTCATCATTCATTGAGACCATAAACTCAATAATCTATTAATAATTATTTTATATTTGTTTGTTATACAGTCACAGTACATGTTTTCTGGTATTTGTATAAAACACAGTTATAATATTTATTGTAAATTTCTTTACTGATATGTATAATCGAGTACCTACATTCTTTATTTATTTATTTATTTTATTTTATTTTTTTAGGGATAACAACAGCTGCAATTCTTAACTAGGTAGTAAACTATGATTACATGAGTAGCCAATAAAAGTTATCCACGGTAGATAAGAGTGGATGAATATGCTAACAACAATACATAATATTAAAACTGATTGGTAAACCTTGAAAAGATGGGTGAATAGATGTAAAATATGAAATATAATATATAACTGAAATAAATAACACATACTAATATATATAAATATGGGAGAAAAATTTAATTGAATAAATACATTAAAAAAATTTATATCATCTAGAAACCTATAAATCCAGCCATTCAGTGCAATGATGTTGACATTTTAGAAAGCCTATGATGATAGTAATTTAAGCGAAACTCGTTTTTTGAAATTATCCTTAGAACCGATGAATATGTCCACACTATTAAAGTGTTCATTATAAGAGTCGAGTAAACGTGATATTACACCATTTCTACCGTAATTAGTCGAGTGAAATGAAGTGCAAAATAGTGTAGTGTGTCTAGTGCGTTTCTTGGGTACATTAAACTTAATATTATTTAAAAGCATAGGACAATCGATCCGTCCTCGCAAAATGTCATAGAGTAAACCCATATCCATCAGAATACGCCTTTCCTCGAGAGTTAGTAGATTGTAAATACGACAATTTTCTCTGTAATCATGAAAGCTGTGACGAAATTTAAAATTAAGGTGATCTATAAACTTTTTCTGGATGCGCTCCAGACTGCCTTTGTGTATCGCATAACAGGGAGACCATATCTGACAACCGTATTCCAGTAAACTACGAACAAAAGCAATATAAACAACACTTAAGCTCAACAAACTCTTGAAAGGTAGGCAAGATCTTAGGACAAAACCGAGATTGCGAAATGATCTGCTGCATATAGCATCAATGTGCTGCCGCATGGACATCTCCGAGTCCAAAAGTATACCCAGGTCTCGCACAACCTTGACCCTCTCGATTGCAACGCCGTTAAAACTGTATTGGTAAATGATAGGATATCTTTTACGGGTAAAGGATATACTTTGACATTTTTTGATGCTAACCGTGATATTATTTTTAGCGTAGTACCTAAATAAAGAGTCGAGATCCTCTTGAAGCAAGACACAGTCAGATAAGGAGTTGATGGATGTGTAAATCTTTTTGTCATCAGCGTAGAGTATGTAATGTGAGTGCTTGATGTGGTAAATTATGTCAAAAATATAGGCGTTATAGAAGAGAGGGCCAAGATGCGATCCCTGGGGAACGCCAGAGGGAATAGATACAAAGTCAGACTTAAACCCACCCAATACAACAGCCTGAGAGCGATTAGTTAGGTACGATTCAACCCACCTAAGTAGGTCACCGTGAATACCTAACGCGTACAGCTTACGTAACAGGATGCCGTGGTCTACACGGTCGAAGGCCTTTTCAAAATCTGTGTAGACCACGTCAACCTGGCCACCATTTTCCATTTCGCCTACCACATAATCTGTGAAACAAGCCAAATTTGAAACCGTGGAACGTCTTTGCATGAATCCGTGCTGAAATTCTGGAATGCCAAGACTAACAACTGGGTAAATATTATTAAAAATTATTTTTTCAAAAACCTTGGCTACACAGTTTAAAATGGAGATAGGGCGATAATTATCTATTTGAGATTTGGAACCTTTCTTGTAAATAGGTATGACGTGCGCTTTTTTCCAAAGAGAGGGAAACATACAAGTTCTTAGTGAGTGTTGGAACAGTAGAGCAATAGGGTGCGATAAACTCTCAGCGCACGCTGACCAAAAGACAGGAGGAATTCCGTCGCAACCAGCACCCTTATTTCTGTCCAAACGTGAGAGGTGGTTAAATACCGTTTCTTTAGAGACAGTTATGTTAGAAATAGTGTCGCAGGCCTGGTAGTTGAACAGTGGAGAATGAGTGTCAGATTGCGACGAGGACCGACCCCTAGTAAAGACGCTGTCAAAAAAGTTATTGAAAGCAGTGCATATTGCCTGACCGTCATTATATTTTGTATTTCCCAAAGTGAAATGACGCGGATAAGCAGAACCAGCCTTTTTTGACTTGACGTAGCTCCAAAAGTATTTAGGTGCTTTCCTTATGTTGTGTTCAGCATTGCGTGTGAAGTTGTCAAAACACTGAACCTGTACTCGATGTTGCCTATCCCTCAGAAGCTTAAATTCATCGAAGTCTCGAGGATTTTTAAACAATTTCCATTTTTTATGTAACTTATCTTTTTCGCGAATGACCTTAATTAAAGAATGACTATACCATATGGGATAGGAATTATTTCGCTGACTGATAAGGGGTACAAATAGAGTAATACAATTTTTTAATTTTTCATAAAATAAATCAACCGCGTCGTCAACACAATCAGTGCCCGACAACAATTGGTCCCAATTAATATTACTCAAATATTTATTGATATCTTCATAATTACATATGCGGAAGTTTAATCTACATATTTTATTCGTGATAAAAGAGCTAATATACAAGTCTACAATGTCAATAGAAAGAGGTGGGTGAAATCTATCAATTTTAGTTAAACCGCTAGTCACAGAAACGTTTAAAGGTAAGTTTGAAAAACAAAGATCTAAAGTGTTGTCACAGTTATTAAGTGTATAGTTATATTGAACCAACCCTAATAAGCTTAAATCTTCCACAAATGCACAAGCTCTGTCCTGTACCAGGCTGCTACCCAAATGTGTGAGGGACCAACCATCCCTACACCAACGTAAACAGGGTAAATTAAAATCACCTACAAGAAAATAATACGCGTCTTTGTATTTACGAAATAAAGTGTTAAAGTTAATAAAATAATTATTTAAGTTAGTCGGCAGATTAAAGGCGTCAGGTGGCATGTATGATAAAACAATAATTAAATCCGCTGAAGTGCCAAGAGTCCGTGCCGAGATCTTCAGACAAACAAATTCATATTGTGAATTACCCAGCCAAGCGGTGAGCGAGACCGCGCATAGCTCGCGGCGGACACAGCACACAACGCCGCCGCCAGCCCGCTTACCAGTTACATCCAGATTTCGATCGCAACGAAACATCTCATACCTACCATCACAGATTTCTTCGTCTAATATATCACTCTGTAGCCATGACTCGGTAATAAAAATAATGTCGTATTCATGTAAAATAATGTTATTGTACAAGTCAAGACATTTTGTGCGTAAACCACGGACGTTTTGGTAAAAAATATTTAGTCGTTTGCTATCCATTAAGGTGGCCATTTTAGAGGTCTACAGTAATATGTACATAACTTTTTATAATAGGAACAACATAAATGGCAGGAATAACAGGTGCAGAAAATATAATTATATACTGAACAATGATAAAATACGTGAACGTAGTATAAGATTAGAAATATTTTATAAAGTAAAAAATAAGATAAATAATATGTGGGTATATTTAATAATAAGAGGCTACGATATTTTATATAAATGTTACATAGCTGTTTACCAATCATATCAAGCGGGTTGTAAGATTTAAAACAACCAATCAACTTAAATTTGTTAAATATGAGATTATGGTACAATAACAAACATTCCCCAAACAAAAAAACTAGAATAATTAGTCATACAATTTTACGGAGATCAGCAGGGGATATGATACGAATTGACGCGGAGGTGTCATTCTTCCTAACGAAGATTTTTCCATCACGTATCCAAACAAACTGGTACTGCGCAGCGGCTGCCTTTTGCCGTGTATTCTTGTGTAACAGCTTGTTGGCAGGCGTGAGGTGTTCATTTACAAAGATCCTTCTCAGGTCACCCGTGATGCCGAGGTCGCTCGTGCTGAGGCCCTTCCTGGTTCTAATAGCAGACAATATGGTATCGCGTAGGAGGCGTGAGTTGAGTTTAACCACGATGGATTTAGGGCGACCAGGTACTGGATTGACTGGGCGTACTCTTGTCGCATGCACGACATCGGTCGCTGAGGATTCTATTTCCAAAAACCTTACCATAGTGCAGTAATAATCAATAAGTTTCTCGTTAGACCTTTCAGGAACACCATTTATCTCAAGATTAAACGCACGGTCACGCTGTTGTTGATTATTGAGTTCCACTTCTAAATTAGTTATGTGCTCCTGCATTCGAGTTATATCCGAGCTGTGGGTTGTATTTGATTTGAAGATGTCATCAACTCGTTTAAGCAAATTAGCCTGAAGGCTATCCTGATGTTCAATCGCAGTCTTGACCGATTCCATATCCGTAAACAGCTGAGATTGATTAACATCAATAACTGAAAGCTTAGACTTAATGTTGTCTAGGTCGTTTTTTATTACAGTGTTAATGTTTAATTGAATGTCAGAAACCTTGTTTTGGAGATCTGTCATCATGGAGGCAAGCTTAGCAGTCAAATCCGATGAAAACCTGTCAAACAGCTCATCCAAGTTGCTGTCCACTTGCTTGCGTTTGCGTCGAATAATATTCACAGACTCAGCGTCTTGTAAATGCAGTTTGTGTAGCTCGGGTTCCGATGCGACCGATACCGGTTGTTTAGACATAATTATAAATACCTTTGTATAACTTGTGGAATAGTTCAGGTGGCACAGTATCACTTACACAAACAAATAGCGCACACAACACAGACGACTAGGTTTGACAGTTCGCGGATACTACCAGCGACGCGAGAACGGCGCAGCAGGTGCAGCGGAAGAGAGACGAATAATTTCACTTAATTATTATGTACTTGACCCGTAATCAAAACTGAAGCGTATGCGCACCAAGCAACGTACAGTTCACAATGCTAACTGCTAACACAAATATCAATTAAAGAAGCACACGTCCACCTCGAACAAGTAACGACAAAGTGACCTTTCTAATTTAAATATTTTCATGCAAAGTTATTGTATGTAGGTATATACCACTGAACAAAGTTTTCTGTGGTGTGTACTGATATATGCTTAAATTTAATTAAAGTTTAAAAAGTGCAGTTTGTGCATTTTGTATTCAGTACACCAAAAAAAATATACTTACCGGGCACAAAGCTCCAAATTTTTCAGACTAGAACAAAATAATATGTTAAATAAATAAAGTAACATAGGTAAGGTTAACTAAACGATAAAATAGGGATATTCTCTTGGGCCTAAATAGACGTACGTTTTCTGTGAAGCTATAATGCTCCAGAAAGAGACCGCTAAACGGGATTAGGAGAGGGTAGATCCCGAGCGTAGAGCACGTCGGCGGCGATACCTGCTCACCTAATGTAGGTACGAGTACTTACATGACAGTGAAGTTAAATTGACCCATTTTTTAAATCATTTCTTTAAATTAATTAGAACTCAAATTAAGCTGCTCAATAGTGACATTTTACTTATGAGTAGAATACTATCGTGTTTTTAAATAAAGATACAACGTTAACAAAGTAAAGTAAACTGTACAAAGAGACAGAAAGGCACGGCACTTTAATAAAGTTTTGTGCAATATATTTATTTATAGTGCGTGGCGGTAAGTAGTGGTATTTATCTATGAATTAGTTACCTTGCACGGATGTTGCTGAATGCAAAGGAATTTATCATTATAGTTAAACATTTGTAAGCACTTCTGTTGTGGCAGTATTACCACTTTAACTCGCCGTAAGTTGATAAGCAATGGTATCAAGAAGCCCTGGAACATAAACACTGTATAAATCATCATCTTCCTCCGGACCTTTCCTCAAACTAGGATAGATATCCACAATCCAAGTAGACTATTGTCGGACTTTTGACTGCACGGATGGCGTAGTGGCTTAAGCGGTCGCCACGCCGCCGCTTCCTACTGCGCTGAGTGTTGTGGGTTCGATCGACACATAAGACAACAATTTGAGTGATCCACAAAAAGGTTCGTGTGGTGACGGATTAAGAATACAGAGTGTCACCACCCTTATTCATCCCGTGGGTGTCGTAAGAGCCGACTAAGGGAAAAAACTAAGCAGGACAACAGCACTGCAGAGAGAAGGAAAACTTGACACAAACCCTTTACCAACCCGTCTGGCCAGCGTGGTATAGTAGGCCAAAACCTCCTTTCTCAGGAGAGGCTTATGTCCAGCAGTGGACTATTAAAGGCTGTTGATGATGATGATGACAAAAAGGTTATTCTGAGTTTGGGTGTTCTTTGTGCCCGTTTCATGTACGTTTGTAAATTCCCTTTCAGGAAGGTCAGAGTAATATACTTGTACCTCGAATTAGCTAGAAAGTCCAACACCTAAAAACAGGTAATTTTAAGCTTGGCTCAAAATTGTTTTTTTTTTTTGTAATGTATTTTGTACGCAAACTGAATAGAAATTTTTCACGATTAAAAAACAAAAGAACCTAATACCATTTACCACAGTTATGTAAATGTTATACAGTATTTTATAATCTACATTGTGATATTTGACACACATAATAAATGAACTATTTTATTATCGTGAGAAAAACTTTTTTTTAAAGTTGTTATAAACAGATTGGACCTCCAATTATATTAAAACGACAAGCGATAAACGTCATGTCTTTGTTAATTGTTTTGATTGTTTGTCGTTGTCTCAAAATTTGTTAATTGTAAAGAATTATTCTTAAAGTTTTCTCAATACCATTTTTGTGTTTATCCTTTCAGCATCCTAAGTTAAAGTTCGCCTAGTCCTACCAGATTACATTTTTTTAAATTTTACCAAAGCAAAGAAACAATTAAATTAAGCACCTCTATTTGTTTCTCATGGAGGTGTTTGCTGTTAGAATAAATAAATGTAAATAGCAAAAACTTTGAGGTCCACTTTAAAAATAATTAGGTGTCAAATTAAAAAACCTTTTTTTAACGGTGAAAAAGAAAAAAGTGGTAGCCCTTAATGCATGCTATTCTATCATCTGGCACATAAAATTGGATTTATAGGATAGGTATATGTTCCTAAAAAGAGGTGTCCTGTTAAAACAAAAAAAATGCCTCCAACAACCCGTACGATTGCCCCTATTGCACATCAATTGCACATGGCTTTTGCCGATTAAAACCGAACAAATGCAGTAATTGTTTGAGGTCGTTTTGTTGTTTGACAAATGCTGCCGAACGGACAATACCTGCTAGCTTATATGTGTAGCAACCCTAACTGTTTGTGTATGGCATGAATATGCAATTATCAATTTCATAGCAAAGCTAATTATTAACTTTATTATGATTAGATACTATACATAAGAATCTGTAACGACTTACTTAACAAATGTGAATACCAAGGTTATTCGCCAAGAATGATCGTTACTTATCAGACAGAATAGAACAATTTCCTTCTCCATCTACTTATCCTATTATATTCCAATCATTCTAAGGTATATCACAATTTTTTTATTCATACTTCAGTCTGTCCTCCTCTCGAATGGTCTATCGCCGGACAGATGGTAAACCAATCGCTCAAAGTCAGGTTTTGAACTCTCATCTCATCAGAACAATAGCCATATATGTATGTATAGTCATGTATGTAAAAAATGATGTACATAAATGTACTAGTATATATTACCTTCTCTTTTATTTCTTCGACTTACTATTATACTACTTTATGCTTTTGTACATTGGGTAATGTAGAACAAATTCATTTCTCAAGACCGTCTACCTCAGAAATGTGATTGATGCTTTATATTATTATCATGGTAAATAATATGACCGATCTTCTGCAATTTTAATTGTTTTCTTTATTAACAATATGAATTGAATATACTTAGTACTTACATTTCGTCTACTACCCCACCCATAGTATCGGCAAGTTGTGTCCTCAAACATGTTCGTAAATTTAGGCGTAGGAGCTCCGTAACGCAACCGTTTGAGTACGAAATCAGCATTTATGTCTCTTACATGGAACTGAAACTGCTGGCTTAAAACTAGCAGGGCCAAGTTGTCGGTTGTACAATCTTCATATTTGTTCGAAGAATAGTTATATCCTGAAAGATCGGGTGGGAATCTACACATATGTCTATGAATTTAAAGTCATCTAAATATTTGTAACCTTTTTGATTTGAAGTCCAACCGCACAACCCCATGTTGATGTAGTTCTAGTCTTTGATTTATGACGCATTCGTTGCCTTAATCCGGTAGTCTGAACTGGATCGAAAATACGGATTTCTAGGCTTTGAAAAAATGGGTGTACGGTTACGGCCTGATCGGCGGTAGTAAAGGTAGTGATAGGGCTGATTGGCAAGGGGAAACCTGAGGCTTCTCCCGGTACAAAGTCAAAGCTGTTTCAGCTTTAAATCATATGAAGGGCGGCTGAGGCCGGTCTTCGAGGTTGTTTTTAGTGAAAACAACACATATTCTTGCCCCCTGGGTCCCCAAGGAGCCGGCGATCCGAAGAGGCTTTCCACCCAGTCAACGAAAAAAACAAAGGGGTTTTCAAGACATAAGCACTACAATTTATTATTATATTTTAATAGGTATAAATTGTGTATTTTTAAGGGATGAAAACATGTTCCTAATTTATCTGGCACATTTACTTTGGACAAGACTTTACTGAATATTACGACATCAAGAGTTATTACGTGAAGGAAGTTATAGAAGAGAACGTTTGAGCAAGACACGAAGATAATCCATGAGAGCATGTTCGTGTTTTGGTCTGGTGCAGGCCCCGTCCAGCTCAGCCGTAATCGTGAACCGACAGGACCGATGGCTCTTCGGACCCGCGAGGTCGTAAACCGCTATAAAAAAAACCAAGCCCACGGTCTGACGCCTGGCAATGGCACTGGAGGGGTACAGTATGGAGGGCGTCACGTCGGAGGCCCTTAACTCAAAACTATGGCATTAGTGAGATAAAGGTTATGCTTCCCAGTAGGTACCCGGACGCACTGCGCCTGCGGGAGGGGCTGTAGTGGGTGTGTACTGTGTGGGCACAAGCTGCCGAGGGGCTCGTAGCGGAGGCCGACCTCCCATAGTTATCGGGCGGGTCATCCAGAATACGATTGTGGAGGCGGGAAGACTTCTCGTAGCCAAGAATAAAGCCCACGAAAGGGAGAAATCCTGCCTCGCAGCGGATCTCGCCAAAGCGACAGAGAGGATGTCGGGCTCCACTCGTGCTCACGCTGCGTCTTCGACACCGGTGGCATCATCCTGCCGGATGGAAATGGACACAGTCCGACTCATGGCGGAGATGGAGGAGCAAATGATGAAGCCTATCTCTACAGTAGAGGGCGCTTTTTGTCGCCCACCACTAGCTTCGCCACGGACGACATATGGGGCCGCTGCTAAGGCGGGCTTAACAGCCCAGCCAGCAGCTAGGGTGGCCGTGCCAGCGACAACGAGAAAGCTCAGAAGGCCACCCACGGGAAAGGAAAGGGGAAAGGGAAGGCTAATCCAACCCTAACCCCAGTCCTAGCCTCGGCTGACACCGCACCGCGGTCAAAAAGAAGAAGCGGCAGACCGCCAAAAAAGAAAGTGCGTGAAACCTGAGGGACCATACTGGTATTTCGTAAAACAAATGATATGATTTAGTAGTAGACTTGAAGCAATTGTAGAACAAATCTGGGAATTTGTAAAAAAAATATTTAAAAAATGACAGCTCCTAGTACGGTCCCTCAGTCCTCACAGATCATCAACCAGATCTCGGCAAATATATAAAAAGTTAAGGTATTGTGACTAAAAAAATTAAAAAGATCTTTACTGAACAACAGACCACTAAACATCAATATATAACCACTAAACTGAATAAATTTATGGGTAATCATCATCAACAGCCTTTAATAGTCCACTGCTGGACATAAGCCTCTCCTTAGAAAGGAGGTTTTGGCCTACTATATCACGCTGGCCTGACGGGTTGGTATAGGGTTTGTGTTAAGTTTTCCTTCTCTCTGCAGTGCTGTTGTTCTGCGTAGTTTTTTCCCTTAGTCGGCTCCTACGACACCCACTTATATACATATTAATACGATACTTATATACATATTAATACGTATTTTGTATTATAACGCCGTCATACAAAAAATATGACAAACAATCAACTGAAAGTTATAGCCAATCGCATTGGTTCCAATTTTCTGAAAAAAATGAGCAATAATTATCAAGCTTTTTTTTATAATAGGTCTTTACCTATGAAATTGCCGTTTTGTATGAAATAAGTGAAAGTACTTATTTTTTCAAACTTTTGTACTGCCTCTCGGGAATTGAATTTTTTACCCACTAAAAAGTTGTCTAAATTGTGGAAAAAGTAATAGTCGGTAGGTGCAAGACTATATGACACTTCGTTCGTGGTGCCATCCTGGACGGTGTCGTACAATATAAGTTCGTGACGACGTGTAGTAAGACGCACCGTGAGGCAACCCTAAGGGCCATGGCCGGAGTTGCCCAATCGTGGAGCGAGGTGGCTCTGCACAAATCCGTGTCATTCTTCTTTCATTGGCCTTGGAGGAAGCCACCTTATATTAGGAGGCACTCGCAGCGGCGCATTCTCCTAACCAGCCCTATACCAACATTTTACATGAAAACATAATTTTTATTTGAAATAGTCTTTGAGTTTGTCCCACTTTCCCCTGTTTTGTGTAACTTTTAGTTCAATTTATACAAACATTTGGTAGAGAATAAGATGTCTTTAATTACCTTTATGGAGACAAAGATGATGCACCTTGCGCGAGATTCCAGTGTGTTCCATAAATCTGTGCGTCCCGGCAAAAACTTCGAATTTGTATTTTTCGCCAAATATACAAGTAGCCGCTGTT